AGTTGTATAGAAATAACTAATGTTAATGATAGGATTATGGAATGTGCTAACGTGGAGTCCCAGAGATGACAGTCACTACTAAGTTGGAGTTCAAAGAAAATCCACCAGACGGAAAATTCTGTGCATTGAACTGTTCAAATATTTTTAAACATCTTTTATAGCATACGTATCTAAATTTGAAAGCGTTCATTTTTCAATTCCAACAACTGTCCATCTCGCATCGACGAGTCACAAAGGAACAACGAAAGGGCAACATATTTATAAAAACTCTCTGCCAACCCTAAAACACGCGCGGGCCACTCAGCCCGCCGACATTACGATAATGTCAGCGGCGGTCCCAACGGACACAGCAACATGAGCACCCTTGTTCGAACCCTTGTACAGTTGCGTGGAAAAGTAATTTCTTTTCTAATTCCCTCTCGAAACTACCCCACCCACGAACCACTGGTGATTTACCACTTTCGATTAAACTACAAGCGAGTTAGTTGGAATATTTTATATAATGATGGATATAATGAAGAATATGATTCTTATAAAATTACGTTTAATATTGAGTTCATGTTGAATTTATCAATTATATTGAAATTACATTATTTTAGTTTCCGCTATGTTAAAAAGAGAAATCACGAGTTCCCTTTAAATAAATTGTGTAAACGCAATATACTTCTAATTACGCTGCTAATAATGACATTACCGACATGCTTTATGTACAACAATGTTAGCAAAATAGCTGTAAAAATCATTTAAGGTATTCCGTAAGAAATACTTTTAGTATCTCTGCCAATTAAATTAATTCCCGTCTAATTAATTCGCCGTAACGCTTTCGCGCGCGACCGTACCTCGCACCTCGCACCCGCCGTACTGCGATATCGCACTTATAATTGACTTATCTGGGTGGCGTTTGCGAGCGAGTTTGATGGGCGGCCCAATCGCCAAATTACTTAAGTGCGGGCCGTCCCGATCATTGTTTTCATCCGTTTAATCTTGTTTATCCCCTTTTGGTTTACGCGCTTAAATTTATGAGGCCGTCTGATGTTTCAGACACAATTATTCCAACCTTTGATGGTTGTGTATCAAGTGTTTTGCGCTCGTCTGTAGCTATAAACGGATTTGTGCCTTTTATTCTGGACTGCACTTAGATTGGATGTCATCTGTTATCTGTTATCTTTTGTGGGATGGTTCGGAAAGAAATTCCTAAGTACTACTGCGACCTAGAAGATCCTTTGTAGTCTTCGAAAACATTGCCCACTTACTGTAGGATAACATTATCTTGTGATGTAAGGAAAAAAATATAAATTCACGAACATAAATTTCACGTGGACAAACAGCCAGGCCCGAAATAATCATGCTCTTAACCGCTTCGACTGATACATCTGATTTCAACCGCGTGGGAATCGAATCCGCGACCTCTGGCGTCGAAGCCAATACCCGGCTACTGCGCTAAGGAATCATCCACAGATTGGGTGTTAGCGTCTAGCCGGTCCGGGTAAGTTAAGTGCAAGTGTTATGCTTTTACACATATACATGTTGGCGCTGGCAGCACTGTATACCAGATATGACGTTATCTAGTCGAGCCATGAGCATGGAGCAGCGGTCACTTGGATTTCGGCTGCGTTCCCGGACAGTGATACAACCACTAGTGCTATTTGTCGTTATAATATTTGTTAATATTCAAGTTCAGTAATAGTTAAAATATTAGGATCAAGGTAAAAACGTTAGAGCTCTTATATACTATTACTACATTCTATGCATATACACTTTGTTATAAGATGGAAACGCATTTGCAATCCTACGGATGTTGAAAATGTATATGGGCGGCGGTTCTCATTTAACATCAGGAGAACCGCCAGCTCGTCTGCCACCTTCCGACATAAAAGTTATAAATAACCTTAATACTGATAAAAATAAATCACTTCTTTACTATCTACTGTTAAAAATTAACGAAATTTATTAATAAATAAAATTTGAACTTCAATTTAATATTTTTAATAGACAACGGAATTCTCTTAAATACAGAGCATTACCAATTAGCACATGAGGGACTTTATTCTGAAAGGCGGGGAAAACAATAAACATTCATTCTAACTGGACAATGTTTGCAGCGACAAACATTGTCAGAAAATTTCAATACCTCTCTCATAATCCGTTTACAAGTGGTAATGTAGACAATCTATTATTACCAAAGAGACATTGCAATCCCGGTGCCCGGGAGCCGGGTGAATCCCGCGGGAATCCCGGAGTCCCTATTACACTCCGTCAATGACACTGCGAGGGCACTTTGTGTTTGTAACAAAAACATTGTTGCACGTCTTTGAATGTGTTTCGACCATATTTTACGCGCGAATTATCGGATGAAGTGAAAAATTGTCCAGTTCGTCTCACTTTCTAATTAAATGTAAATAATAATCGAATAATATGCAAAGTGCTGAGAAAACGAATGCTTTAAACACAAGCAACAAGTTGAGGAAACAATTTCTAACTGGTTACAATCACGTGTATTTCTCATGCACATAAATTTATTAGAACTACGTTAAGCATACGGTTCTTAAATAATTACATTCGTGTTTGAATGTTTCTTATAAACAAAACAAAATCTCTCTCATATTAAAAACTAAAAGCAAATATAGAAGAACAGATAAATAAATAAAGAAGTTATTACAGGCAAGTGTTAAGTTGCAACTAGAATTTTAATCTAAAAAGATTGCAAATACCCATCGTAAGGTATGTATAAAGTGCAATGTTGTAGGTACTCTAAATCTACTGTAATATTCATCAAAGTAGTTGCGCTTACGGTGTATCCCTTGTATGACATATTTACACCTTATTCTAAACACCATGAAGAACATGAAGTAAAACGGGAAGCTTCGTTTAGACTATATATTAAGTATAATATATGACCATCTCGCAAACATTTAATAATATTATAGAAGTTTCTAAATGTAATCGGCATTGGTTATCAAAGGATGATGTGCGATATTCGTAATAGATTACGATCAACAAAGAATTGAAAGATAAAATATTAATATTTCTACATTTAAGATTTATTATTATTTGACATTAGCATGATTAAATAAGGCCGATCCTTCATTATTTTTAATAATGATCATTAAACTGTCTCATTAACAGGAAAACTTTATACCCGAGTTACCCAAATATTCGCAATAGAAAAATACCTACTTAAAATCCGTTAAATCGTGTCACTGAGTGGTTTACTATGGCCCAATATTATTATATAAGCCCTAACCTTTTACCGATGCTGGAAGGTCTGGCTTGACCATGGGAATACCAAGACCTCACGGATAGGTGAACAGTACTTGTATTTATATTTTGGCTACCTTTCCTCTTAGAGCCGTGATAGCTCACTCGCAACCTGCGTTCGATACCCGGTGCCGGCACCAATAAAATTGATTATTTAAAGTTCTGAATTATCACGTGCTCAGCGGTGAAGGAAAACATCGTGAGAAAACCTGCATATTTTCGAAATAGTAATGTAAAATATTTAGAAAATATGTGAAGTCCGCCAATCCGCAGTGGGCTGCGTGGTAGAATATGCCCTGATACCCTCTGCGCAGAGGAGACCTTTGCCTAGCAGTGGAAAATTTATGGGCTGTTACTTTACTTTTTTTTACTTTAACCTTTCCTCTTAAAACTTCCTCTAATTCTCTTTCTAATGAGGTGATGACATATACTAAGAAATCAGTTTTATTCGCACCTTCTTCCATTACCCAATGGAAAACGGACAATGAATCTTTAATATCCCAACAAAGAGCCCTCCTACGTTCATAGCCATTGTCGAAATCGAATTTGAAACAACGATTGAAACGACATCGCAAAGCGAACGCTCCACGCGAAAGGGTAGGGTGGGGCGTCCGGTACTAATCAAATTGTCATAATACAGTCCCATTATTTTATTGAGCCGGCCGAATTTAATTTTCGTCGAGCCTAATGCCACGTCCCGGGGGAGGGGGCGTGAGCGCGCGCGGATGGGATCATGGGATTGCAGGGATGTATGGCCGATTTGGGAATTTGCAGCGTTCAACGCAGAGCAGTGGCAGTTGTGATTTTTTATTATTTTCATTGTTCTCACTCGCGGTGCACTCTTCTATTTCATACACATTAATAGACTAGTGATATAGAGAAAATCATTTACAACAAAAAAACGAATAAAGTGTGTCTTCGAGACATTTTACAGTTCAATGAGTGCTGTGACTATGGATTTGAATGTTAAGTATCAATTAAAAATCATTTCAGAACACCACCATAAAACTTCCGTCATGTAATATGATTAAATTAAAGAGATAACAATGTTATTTATATGTGCCTACTGTAAATCGTTGTCTCATCTACGAGGATATGCATCATATTTACTGTAAATCAATGCAACATATGACGGGCTAACTGTACTGTTCTATCCCATAATCAGTCACGAAGTAAGGTTGTGGCCTAACGTATATTCTTTAGATCCTAATCATTAGCTGTTTAGTCACCTAATGGCTACCCAAATGGAAAGGGTCTATTATAATGTTGAAGAACACAATGAGGAAAAGGAAATGTGGAGATGACTCTTGCCCTGCAATTACATGTAGCTGGTGTTGATTATATACTTAAATAATTTGCATACTTACACAATTATATACATAATATGTAATAACAAAAAAAGATAAAAAGATCACAAAGTTTCTTGTCGGTTCTTCTCAGGGCAGAACTAGTTTAGTGGAACGGTGGTAGTTTTCTCATGTTCAGTAGGAGCTTAAAATAATTCTATACTGAATACGACTTTGATTTTTAACAAACAGTTATAACGCTATACACCCCGGTGCATTACAAACCGGCCTGTACTGGACAACGATTCTAGTAACGACTGTACCGTTCGAATACTTAGACGGGTATTAGCCATCGTGCCGTAATTTGCGACTTGATAGTTTACTGGCTGACTGTACCTTTGACGGGCCATAAGCATGCGTCATTGTTATCAGATCTTATCTAAACTCTCCTTGCAGGTACTACGAGACGGGCAGCTTCAAGGCCGGCGTCATTGGGGGCTCAAAGCCGAAGGTCGCCACGCCGCCGGTGGTAGACGCCATCGCGGCATACAAGAGGGAGAACCCGACGATGTTCGCCTGGGAGATCAGGGACCGGCTCCTCAGCGAGGGGATTTGCAGCCAGGACAACGTGCCCTCAGTGTCCAGTATCAATAGGTGAGTGGAGTTGAGTTCGCAGCAGTATTTGATGGATTCCACAAATCGTGCAGTCGAAGCGGCTAAGTTCTGCGCCGAAAATATATGATATGACACGTAAAGATCGTATCGTATTTTTACGTGTCAAATCATATCTTTCAATCGACACAAAGAAGAGTAAAGAAGAGAGTGAGTGAAATTGGAGTTTTTAGTATCGATGCTGCTATACTGTTTTAGGGCCACGCACCATATTCCGTTGCCAGAATGGGCAGACGCTTCCGGGTAAGTAACACGATCTCACAGAAGACCAGCGTCATTTGGAAATATTAAGCATTCGCGTTTCGGTGAATGAAGTAACCGGGGCCCGCGTTTTTAAAGGTTGTCAACGCATCAGGAAACCATCGAATGTTGTGAATGCCCATGGGAGGTGGTATTCACTTAAAATCAGGTGAAACGCCTTCTAGCTTGACAACCTTTCACATAAAAATTAAAACTAAATATAATTTCGAGCTGTATACCGCCATTTATAGACATCGTTATAATTTTGAATGATTAATTTGGGCTAGAAAACTTTTTTCTATGTCGAACCATGATACTAAGCTCGAAAAGAGTCAAATTATATCTAAAAAATTAAATTTTCATTTAATCACAAATAAGTGTCGTTATATTTTGAAGTACGAAACAGCGTTCATATAAGATGGTCACGATAAACTTTCTACGCAGCGGTGTTTACGAAAACAAGGAAACAATGGAAACTTGACCAGGAATAAAATGGGCACAGAAATAACATATATTTCCAAATGTTCCTCCGGAGTGTCGAAGCCGTTACGGCCCTTTTAGGGAAAGTTTTGTTTAATGCTTCATCAGAAGCTGCTTTTGTAAATGTTACCCTTTACACCTTCATTAAAGTCTATTTTTGTACGGTCGGTAGAATAGAATGGGAAAGAGTTTGTTGTGGCTTTCAAATCCGCGATTTCTTTATTTGTAAGAAATGAAAGTCTATTTTGCATTCTTCGCATATTACTTTGATAAATACAATTTTTAGCTCAGTATTGTTGTTTAAGCATCTGGGAGTGATTCTGGAAGACGATTCGATTTCTGCATCAATGAAAGTCATTTTGTCATTTTTTCTACAAATTTTAGTCAGAATTGTTCTCATTCTTATTTAGTCTACTTAATAACCCCCCTAGAATTAAAGAAATCAAAATCCTGCCCTATTTATATGTGGGTAATCCCTCCGTACCTCTTTGACGCATTTTCTTTGACACAACTTTTCAATGACATAATAAAACTTCTGTATATGAAACATATTGGACCTTAAATTCAAATATGTAACGACTAATATGACCCCATTTCTATCCGATCGGGCCGAACACGACATCCTATACGTAATGATACCACTTTCGGAAACGTTTTCTAATGACAATGGCAGTCATTCGTCCGCCATTTTCGCGGCTCCAACGGCAAGGGGTTGCGTGACGCGCAGAGTACGCACCGGAAGGCGGGAAGCGAGCGGGCGAACAAAGATGGCGGCGCCGGAAGCTGAGACACGTGCTCCGCGCACCGGAAATCCCGTGCCTTGCGTCCATTGAATTATTGCCGTACGGAGTGAAATATAATAATAATATATTCGTTTGTTGTCTTCGCAATTTCCCCGTCGGCTGGACTGATGGGATTCCAACTTTTGTCGGTGACGGTACAGCGTTTTGCTTTTAACAATTATTGGTTTTATGGATGTTTTGATCGATGATAGAAACGCTCGCTTCATGGTATCAGATAATAGAGTTGTTATGAAATGATCTAGCCTCAGATACACATACATCACGCATTGTCATTCAGATCCCTGAACAATACCTTCAATTACAGACGTTTTCCTGAAATTCAATTCGTGTATTGACGTCCATTTCGATTATGTAGACGTTATATATTACATACAATACATTAAAAATTACATTTATTATATAAAGGACTATAAAAAAATTTAATTTAGGCCCAAACAAAACATTAAGTAGAACCATGTACTCGTAGCACCATCCGCGTAGATCGAACACAAAATTATTATTTTTAAAATCAGAATTTTTTAAATAAAAATAAATCATCTAATTACATCCCGACGTGTAACACTTCAGTCGTGAGCATGAATGCTACAGAGCATAGGAGTCGCTGGAAATTAAATTAAGAATGAACTTGAGAAATCCGTAAAATAACTTGTTTGGTAATTTTTACTGTGGTAGGGCCACGCAACAGTTTTTGCTGTTGCGTGGGAAGTACCATGGCCTCACAGAAAACCGGCGTGTAGTGGGAGTATTAAACTATCGCGTTTCGTTTGTTGAGTGAGGTAACCGAGGCGCACTTTTTATATGTTGTCAACGCATCTGCAAGTCATTGGGCGGCGGTATTCACTTGTTAGTCTAACCGCCTGCTCGTTTGACAAATGTTCACATAAAAAATGTGCAGTATGCCCGTAAACATAAATAAGTTACGAAGCATTCTACAGTTTGGCTGTTTTGGTTCATATCGATATACCTACTGCTATATGGTTTATATTGGTATACTTGATGCCATAAACAGGCGTCGACCTGTATCATCATTAACCTCTGATAACATAGTCAAAAATAACATTTTCCTTAGCTTTAGAAAAGGAGTTACGATAAATGAAATGGACCTTGTCTTGGATATTTGCTTCCCCATCAACGCGACAAGTTACAATTGAAGTAACAAATTTTCACTACATTAATATCGACACGGCCATTAAGTATTAATTACACGCCCAACCAACTCCAAATCCGGGTGTTACCAGTGTCAACATTCGGAAATTCACGCGTGCAATTACGCGGTGTTGCCCGATAAGATAAAGCGCCCCCGGTTACCCAGTTATTAATTCGTCGACGAGTGTAATTGTTATCACGTATCTGAACGCTACCGTTTATTAATTTACGTGAAGATATTGGATAAACAGTTGACAGATTGTGTTGTCAACTTTGTTTGCACTGAGATATAGTAACGAGTAAGCGTCATGTTATTGTTTTTGATATTAGATGGCCGCACTTGAATTTTAAGTAGCAATATACAATAAAAGTTAAAACTGCATACTGCACCGAATGGTCTAGTTTCGATCCCCACTAATGGAATAATGATGTGTGATGAATATAGTGTTTTTCCAGTGTGTGGGTGTGAATATGAGCATATTTACATCATATGTATTTATTTACACAGTAAAAAGTAAAGTCTATAACTTTTGAGCGATTATAATGGCAACAAACAACACCTTATGTCCTTATATATGTTACTGATCCTGCTTCGTGGCAGTCAGTGGGAGAAGCCTATGTCCAGCAGTAAAATAATGATTATTGTTACGATTTTTTAATGAATTCACAAACTAAGATTTTTTTTATGTGAGGAAGTGGCAAACGAGCTGGCGGTTCACTTGATGTTAAGTGATAACCGCCTGCCCATGGACGTTAGCAAAACCCGGAGGATTGCAGATGCGTTGCGACCCCTTAATATTATGGGCCTGGCTACCTCACTTACCAGACGAAACGCAGAAGTGCAACACTTTTACTTATATATAATAACATACTCGTAACTATAGACTTTACAGGCCGTCTGCGGGTTAAATGACATATCTGATTGTAACATTTATTCCGAATTCTTACAAAGATATCTTCAAAAATGTCTAAGCCAATTTCTTTCCTATGCACTGGCATTCCCCCTAGCGTTTCTCGAGGTCCCGGTACGTCGAAATCGCCTCGGGGCTGCTCTCTATTAACGGACAATAAACCAGAATTATTGCTCTCAATAAACGAGCCCAATCCACTCGGTGGGGTGGTTTTAAATCGTATTAGTGCCAAGTTTGCGTTTTATATTGGCAGCACCGCGGTATCCCTCCAGTAATACCCAAGTTTTCAGTTGTTGTGAGTGGTTTGCTAATGATTTTTTAGTTTGTGACTTTGTTACTTTCCTATAAACTAATGAGAAAGCGATTGATGACTTAAGCATGCTATGAACTGTTGATGTATGGAAATGCCTACCATACATTTCTATATGTTGGAGCCATCTACATCTTTACTACTCAATATAATCTGTTACCTTTACTTCATAAATCACTAATCAATCAATAATTTATTCCTTATTTTTATTTTTTCCATTGAATTTTGTCTTGTCGTCCACATGAGAAGCGTATCTTTTTCACCTACATCGTAAAAATAAAAAAATAAAACAATTTTACAAAATATAAAAAAACGCAAACTGTCTTGTCTTACAAATTGTTCCCTCATTAAAACATGATAATATATTAAGAGTATTTTTTAATGTTTCATTGAATATAGGTATTTTTTCACTAAAATAACTTCTGGCACACGTGTTCTTTAGTGCCTGTCTTTAAAGGATGCCTCTTCAGAACGTTCAGACTTCGGTAAGGACCGATAAAAGTTAAAGTAAAGTATTTAGACCTATATAAACCCACAGCTAGGCATTACCTCCTCTGTACAGAGGCTATTAGGACATAGTCCACCTAGCAACCCAACCGCGTATTGGCAGACTTCACACAGAACCGAGCGCGAAACAAAAATAGGCAATTATTCCAAATTCGAAACGATCGTCCGTTAAACTCATTATTATAATTCGTCGCCATCGCGCTAATTTAGCTCTGCAAAATGCCTCCTCGGATAAGCGACGTCCACAGAGTCGCAAGTTAATTTTAAAGCAATCGCCCGCTCAATACAAGGGTGATTTCCACCCCAAGTCACGTGGCGGTCACGCGTGTGTAATGTACCGTACGCCGCCTTCCTGTGCGGTCGCATGATGCCCAAATAGGGATCAGTTTGAGTGGAAGCTGCAGCTTTACCCAACTGCTTCCACAATGAATGTATTTTTATTTTGTGTGGAACGGCAGCTTGAATGGAAGCTGCAGATCCCGTGGACTAATGTCTATCTTAGACGACAGCTTTAGCCACAGTTGTATTATTATTTAGTGTGGAAGGGGCTGGGTAGTCAGAATGACCACTGTGATCTAGAACTCCACAATAATTGTATTTTCATTTCGCGTGGAACGGCGGTTTGATTGGAAGCTGCAGATCCCGTGGACGAACCTCTATCTTAGACAACACCTTTACCATACCGCCTCCACGACCGTAATATTATTGTGTGTTTAAGGGGCTGGCTAGTTCGAATGACTACTGTCACCTAGCACTCTACAATAATTGTATTTTTATTTTGTGTCGAACGGCAGTTTGATTGGAAGCTGCAGATCCCGTGGACTAACCTCTATCTTAGACAACAGCTTTACCCATGTGTCTCCACAATAATTGTATTATTATTTTCTGTGGAACGGGTCGGGTAGTAAGTCTCAATGACCACCGCTACCTAAAGGTCTATTGTAGTCTTCCTTTCGAAAACATTGCCCCCTCATTTTGTGTGATAACATTATCCTGTGCTGTAAGGACTTTTTACACACATAAATGTCACGTGGAAAGTTTCCGTTGGGAAATTCGAATCGATTTTTTTTTATGTGAAAAGTAGCCAAGCGATCAGGCAACTGCTACACCCGAGGGTTCCAGATGCGTTGACAATTTTTTGAAAATTGACAAAACGCGAAAGTATTATACTTCCACTTTACGCTGGTCTTCTGTGAGGTCGTGGTACTTACCCTGACGAGCCTACCCATTCGTGCAACAGCCGAGGCTGCTGCGTGGCCCTACCATCGTGAAGATGCTGTAGTTGATGAGATTGCACTACATATGGTGATAGCCAGTTTAACACTTCATGATGAAAGTATAGTATACATGTTGTCGAGTTTTTGAATCCTTACGGCTTGTAAATCTGAAAGCTAAAGGCTAAGTAAGTAGGCTAAGTTGCTCATAGGGAATAGGATCTTAGGTGAGTTTGCTTGTAGGCGCGGTTGTTCGTAGATAAGTTTGCTCGTAGGCCAGGTTGTCCTAGGTTAGGATGCTCATAGGCAAGGCTGCTCATCGGTGTATCTTGTTATCGGAGTTGCTTTGAGAGGAGGCAATTTTTTGAACTGTTCACTTATTTTGAATTATTAGGAAGAGCAACGAAGACGTTTCTATTATATATGAGTGGAAATGTAGGAAATTCTCAAAGCCATTGTCTAAAGACAAAGCAGCATGTAATGATTTTTTTCTTCAGGTCATTATTTCTTGCAATAATCGCTTTGCTATTTTACCGGTTACAAAGCAGATAACCAGCAGTTTCAAACAACCAGAGTCTTCTGGTTTAAACCTATTAAACTCGGCCAACGGTAGGCAATTTGGTATTTGCAATCCACACAGACGGTGTTCATCCCCGAACCAATCGCGGCCGCAATTCACCCTCGCGGTACGGATGAAATGATAAAAAACACAAAATCGACTTCACTCGCTCTGTATTCATTTTATAGTTGATTTTCAGGTGTATTCCTATGTATCTCCGGATTCCAACATGCGATACCAATGAAATTAATATGGGACAACATGGGAAGCACCAGCTTTCAAATGAAAAGGAATCATCCAAATCGTTTCACTCAGTTCTGCGGTAACAAACATAAAAAAATACAGTTGAATTGAGAACCCCCTCCTTTCGAAGTCGGTTAAAAAGCATAAAGCGAGCGAACGAAAAATCGCCGAGTCGCGAAACGCCAAGACATTCTCAATCGAATACGGCAAAGGGCGTAATTGAAGCCATAACTCCGGCCACCCCGCTATGACATTTGATTTCTTTTCCCGCGCAAAATTCGTGATTCGCGCTGGGTAATTCGGTTCCTATTCTGTGGGGCTGAGTGCTGTCAACGGTAATGCAGTTTTTTTTTTTTTTTTCTCCAAATCGTCGTGTTTTCGACCTGTTATTCGATGGCTCGTTGGATTAAAAATGTGTGTATTCATTCCATCTTATGAGTATTTTTCCTATCAATTAATTATTGTATGTAGGCTGATATTTATTTACACATTGTTATTACCAAAAAGTTGATGATTAATTGCATAATTCATTTATAAGTAATAAAGTTAATAGTAAGGTGTTGTTAGTTATAGGAAGTAGTTGTATTTACTACATTTCGTCTTTTGAGTGAGGTAGCCGGGGCCCACTTTATTATACGACGCTTCTGCAACCCTATGAGTGTTACAAATGTCCATGGGCGGCAGTCGTCACCTACCATCAGGTGAACCGTCAGCTCGCTTGCCATCTTCTCGCACAAAGAACACCCTGTTATCAACCTGTTTATTATATTTATTTAGTATTCATTTAAACTTTATAGTTTATTTAATAATATGAATAATTCATTTATTTTAAACAACAGAGAATAGATGGAAATTATTTATGGCCGTAGAATAAAGGTTACGTTTTATATGCTCTTAAGCATTATATTACATGTAAGGGTTCTGAAATAAGGGGATAGCAACCCTTCTACCGGAAACGGATACACTTTTCAAAGTTTGCAAATTTGCGGTCAAGATAATGCGTTTATGAAATGCTATAAAATCTTTTAAAACATTAATTTTTTGTTGGATTTGTTTGTGCAAATGGAAAAAAAAATATTATTTCCTATTTACAAATTGCATGCATTGTTGCTATTTCTGTTCCAGTTCGTATTTATAATTTATATTAAGTCTATTATTATCCTTGTATAAAAACATATTTACACGTCTGTCTATTAAAGAAGGGTCATCAATCACTCAAATCCCCCGCTAGGTAAAAACTGATTACTCTATTACGGCCCCTAACTCTAATCTGACCTTTTTGATAAGTTCGCAAAACAATTTTTGCATATGTCAACCCACGAGATACTGGCAATAACTCACCAGACGCCCGCCATTATCCATCATGGCGGGAAATGAACTGTCATTCCGCGACGTCGGCAAAATGGCCGCGAAACAAAATGACATCATCGGCGGGGTGAAGTACTTAATTTGCTTGTGTTATGTCGAAAATTTCGCATTCAATTCTGACGTTAGATTTTGAATAGCATCACAATGCAATATAATGTGAAGAATATGTAGGTATACTAAAATAATTCTTTCGACAACATTTACAGACAGACTTAGCCTGAAATTGGAAAAGAACCTAGCTCTTTTGCATTGATCATTAATAATGAATGAATTACGCGCAATCAAATAGTGACTACTATTATGCGAAAAACAGCACATGTTAAATTACTATTTTTTTTCCAACACTAGGATACGCACAAAAAGGAACGATAATAACATTATACTGTCCATACACTCATTTAGATTTGAAACCTTCCTCCCCGGTTGGAGTTACAGCGCGTTGAACATTTCAAGCGCTCCCTGCAACTCCATAAATATCATAACCGCAGAGGCACGGCTCGAAACTCGCGCGCTGCCTAAGCTAATTTGGCGGGGACGGGCACGCGGCGTTTTTTAAGGCGCTCTTTGTCGGCGCAAGCTCGCCCACAAAGAGCGGGGAGCGTTGCAAATCGCGGCGAGTGCCCGAATATTGACGTTGGCTGTAGCAGCACGTGGCAGCGGCCCCCCGGCCTAATTGTCTCGCTCGCTGGGGTCGGCAGTAATGGCATATCGCTGTCGTTGCAGTCTTTGCGGCTGCAATTTAGCCGTTTCGCCGCTTCGAAGCGCTGGAAATGTTAGCCGGTTGCAATTCGACGTTTTCAAGTTGTGGATGTTTGGTGGTTTCGTTTTCAAGTTCCCTTCGATTGCGAAATATATAACCCAAAATTTTTTCCTGTATACCTATGTATGTCTGTTATATTATACACTGTTGTTGAACGCTGTTGACTTTATAATCTATTTCATTACATATTTTATTTACAAACCAATATTTACATTACTAACGGTAACGCTCTCGCCAGGATCGTGAGGAACAAGGCCGCGGAGAAGGCGAAGCACGCCCACAACCAGCAACAGCAACAGCAGCAAGAACAGGAGATCACCTCGGCGCAGGGCAGCGTCGTATCCGTGAGTAACTTACTGACATGCCCTAAACTAGCGAGTATGAAATTTTTGTACATTGATACCCCTGTAAAGTCAAAATCATTGGGAATTTTCTCCAAATTAAACCCAAGCGAATATTAATAATATTAAACGAAACTATTCTCTACGGATTTTTCAGATTGTATGCCCCGTGATCATAAATGGTCTAACCCAAACGAATTATTGAACGAATCTATTACGAACTTATCACACCATAGTCTGTCCGGTGACCATTTTAAGCATTGGAACAGTGGTTAATTCAGTTTTAAAATTCGGAAACAGTTACATTCAGCAATTTATAGTGTTTTGCTTGAATAGACCCAAAGCCGAGAAACCTCATCTTAAATTTTATTTCTTTATGCGCCATTGACTTAGAGTGTCCTATATAAAGGTATATTAAAGGTCGCAATTTACGTTATACGGATACATAAACATATTATGGGCTTATTACAAAGTAGATAGTGATCTAAATATTGTTAGTAAAGTTTCCTAACAACATGCAAAGACCTATTAACTGGAATTTCTCTTGACCTTTTCGTTTGTAAGGTAACTACAAATTCGTATGGGCGCTCGATTTTTCATACTTTACACACATTTGGCCATCCCCACCAGGTAATAACCCACGCTGGCAATGCCCCCGGGACCACGGCAGTGCTCTCACCCACCACTGAGCAGCACGTCACCAACACCGGCAGCTACAGCATCAACGGTATCCTGGGCATAGAGCAAGTGGAAGGCCTGCACAACGGGACCCCGACGGGGCTGAAGAGGAAACGGCATGAAGACCAAGGTAAGAGAAACCAGCTCGTCGGAAGTACGACTTCAATTGTGACGTCATCCCCGCAATTATCCAGAACTCGAAGTGCTCAACCAGCTCATCAGAAAAACCAATAGTGACATCACCCTCGAAATTATTCACAATGCAAAAAATTGTGATCAAAAAAGTTGCTTTATTTCCTGTGTCACTATTTAAGTTCTTATGACAACTTGAATGAGTCATATTTAAAAATTGTTCCGTTTTATCCTGTGACGACGTTCAACGCCATGGTGTAATTAATCGTTAGTTGACAACTATCAAGTACAACATCAGATCTCAGCTTTAACCAACTTTGATAAGATCTAAATAATTAAATTTCTCATAAAAAACATATGCATGTTTATTATAAAAATTAGTTATTGTTATCGATCAGATATTACTCCGCTGCGATAAATTTAAATGATTGTAGAGTTTTTCATAAAATCCGAGAGATCCTTGATTCATTGTGTACAAATGTCCACATGCCATCTACATTTGTATATTACCTCTTTACCATTAGCAACTTTTACCGTAATTATCACGAGGCCACTTTCATCGGTCGACTTTTAATGAGCATTAAACCGTGTATTGAAATGTGACAAATTTATTCCTCATCAGACTGGAATAATCGAATCCATTTGATTGAATGCTTAATTGATATTTTGTTAACGGGAATTCGATACATATTGCATACTGCAGCTTTACGTGAATCATCTTCAATGTAAATGTAAAGAATCACTATATAGTATAAAACAAAGTCGTCCGCCGTCTGTCTGTCCCTATTTATGCTTAGATCTTTAAAACTACGCAACGGATTTTGATGCGGTTTTATTTAATAGATAGAGTAATTCAAGGGGAAGTTTTATATGTAATAATTCATGCATAATATAGTAGAGGAATAATGATAATTTTAGAGGTTTCTAAAGCGATGTCAAAAACAAACATTCAGCATTGCACCCGTGCGAAGCCGGGGCGGGTCGCTAGTATTATTATAATGTAAAGCAAAAGGTTCAAGTAATTTCTAACCCAAATTCCTTGTACGGAATACGTTGGCAAATTATATTATAATTTAAATATCCTCATCTCTATTAGTGTATAATGTAAACATAATGTAATATTTATATGTATGTATTATCTTTAGCACGCTTTATGGCCTAATGAAGTCCGTATAGGCTTCAAGGTTTTTAACATATTAGTTATAAACATGTTTTTACGTTTATTATTTATTGACATTAACTGAACGTTCGATTGCCGACCACTCAATGCAAACGCAAACACTCACTCGGCTCATGTCGTTTTGAGAACTTGTTCAACCGAATTCTAATAATATGAAGAGCTTGGCACGACCCATTGCCAGTAAGTTTTCAGCGCGAAGTGCGCTGTAAAACTTGTAAGTAATTATATCGAAGTGCGGGAATTAAAACACTCGCGGGGACCCTGCGGAGCTCCGTGCCTTACGATCTCTGTCCCGTAGTGATGCCCGTTATCGAAGAATTCGTGACTTTATCGATAAAGTACGAATTTTGTGTGATTTTAGCCAATCCACTATTCCATTCTCTCAAAACTGAGATTTAATTTTGGACTCTTTTGTGATTCACTACAAGCCTGAAGTCGTGTATAAACTATTATTTTCACTGTTGTTAAGAATTCATGCACATATTCTTTCTCCCTGCCAAACAGTATAAATTACCAACATAACGTGTCACTACACTTTTGTCAGTCTTCCTAAAGATTTTACATACTACGCGTTTACTATCACATCTAAACCTCCCGAACATTCTACCCATATAATAAACATGATTACATATTGAACTAATTACAATATGAAAAGAAAAAATATATAATATTATAGTTTTTTATTTGTAATTAAACAATTATTTTTATTAAATAATTAAATCTTTAACCTATTTAAAATCACAAATTTTCTAATAAACCTAGTCCACGCACGTATTGAACATATTTAACTTATTTTAAACTATTTTGTATAATTTTATAGACATTTTTTTATTTTATTTATTTTATTTTATTGATTAAGAAAACAAACACCACTTACATAAAATAAGTAGTACAAATTACATACTGATATGTGGGCCAATAAGGATTTCACCACTAGCTATTATACACTTTGCATCAGAAGTATACAATTATAATATCTTATTTTAACGGTATTTAGATTTATAAAAGAAAAATGTTAAAGATAAGAAAAAAAGATACAAATACATAAACTAAAACCTAAATTATTTGAAAAATAACATTTAAAGATTGTATGTTTACAAGCTATCGTGTCGCATCACTATTATCCTTTTACAATAGCGCTGCTCGCTCAGCGGAACCGGCAAGATTTACTGAGCTATTAAATCCCCAGCACAAATTCTGGCCATATTATATTACGTTATAATACCTCGTGATACTCCCTCTTGTTAACTCACCAGAATTTATGATAAAGCCCGTCTACTTCCACGAAACGGTCTTTAAAAAAGACTATCCTCAAAATATGATATTGCCTTCGCACTATACATTTAAATTGTCTTTCTCGCAGCTTAGCAACCAATGTAGCAAATATAAATAATAAATTATGAATGTAATGCGTTCTTAACTTTGTCTTATTATCAACTAGCTGCTGCCCGCGACTACGTCTGCGTAGAATACGTAGGTTTAAGGCGTAACATTCAGACAGAAAGACAGATTTACATGAAATATGTATATAAATTTTAGCCTATGTGTTATTCTGATGTTTAAGCTATATAATTGTAAAATTTCACTAAAATCCATTCAGTAGTAATTGCGCGAAAGAGTAACAAACATCCATCCATACATACAAACTTTCGCATTTATAATATTAGTAAGGACTATATTTATTAGATTTCATTACATATAATATACACTATGTTTATGAATGGTTAGAATTTTATCCACTTCTATAGTATTATGTCTGGTTCTAGGATTATTTTTAATAGTAAGAAGGCCATGGAAAAGAACTGATGGCGTCTTCAAGGATAACTACTCGTACGCTTTACATGTCGTACCAACATGATATACTTTCTTATGCTTTTTACATGTTGGTCCATGTACTATTGAATATCGAACGGAATTATTTCAGTGTTGTTTCATTATGTGTATGAAAGCTTTAACGAACTGTAATAAGCTATTAATACATCGTACTTTTCAACAGACGAGAACCGCGACTTCAACAGTCATTCCGAAGATGACGTCAAAAGACAGAGAAGTCATTACAACGGTGACCAAATATACTCCAACGTACGTATTCTTAAAATAAGCCACTTTTTTATTTAAAATTTAGAAATAATTTATATTTTTGACGGTATAAATACTGTTCATATGATGAAAGAATAAAATTTCTCAAAATAATCTATCAAATCATTAACAGAAGTAGCTGAACAACTTACAGGCACATGATTATTCATTACAACATTTGCTAATCTGTACGGTCCTAAACCAAAAATTGCTATTAAGTAAACGACGAGTCGAGATTGTTAAAACCAACATTTAGTTCGTAACACATGTGTCTTAAGGTGACGCAATCATATTATGTCTCCTTGTGTTGAGGGGAATGGGTAAGTCCCAATGCCTACTGCTACATATAAAATCTATAATCGTAGTCCATTGCCCCTCACCATAGGATAATAATATCCTATGTAGGATCGTGTTGTTGTTGAGAAACACCCACATCCGAAATAACTATCTGTAGGTTACACGAATAACTGTCCTAGCTAGAAAACTAGATTATTTTTCGTCACTAGCAATGTTTTTATTCGCAACGTGGTCTGTCCCCCAGCTGTGGTCGTCGAAGTGGAGCTTGAAGGACGAGTACAAGCTGCTCTCGGAGCTGGGCGGCGCGGGCGGCGCCGGCGGCTACTACGGGGAGCTGTTCGACGCGCCCTACGAGCACGCCGCGCACCCGCACTACACGCCGCACTCAGGTAATAAAAGAACTCACGCGGTAAACGCAACGAACTCGCTCACGAATGCAAAGAACTCGCTCATAAATGCAAAGAACTCGCTCACAAATGCCGATAACTATCACACAATCCGTGCAGTCGGAAGACTGAGAACCGCCGCAATACTATAACAATCGTTATAAAAGGTAATGAAATTAGTATTCTGGAATAAAATGGAAGTGTGTGTATGAAACAAATACTAGGACAAAACATTTATTAATTCTACCCACAATTAGACTGTGTAGAATAAGAAAATCTTCAAATCAATCCACGAAGTAATAATGATGAACTTAGGACAGGTTTAATATTTAATATTTGTTATAATAAACTAACACAATGATCACAAGGCGCGTATTCTACGGAGAAATAATGATGAACTCTAAGACAGGGCCAACAATAACTTTGACTAAAAAGCACCGTACGATACACAAGCTGACACATCTTTAACACTGTTGGAGTCAGATCTTAAACGATCATATAAACATAGATGCAGACAACTAGACGAAGTCGTTGACCCACAATAGAGTCTAGCTTTGCGCTGGCCAAACACGCTTCTTGTATTACCACACGGGATGTGGTCGCACCACGCAGGTGGATTGTTTTCTTCCCTGAAATTTGAGATACTATTGTGTTGTACTTTATAAAGAAATACTTTGTAGTCTACCGTTTCAAGTAATAGTTTCGGTTAGCATGAGTTCGTACGTTTGACTATTTTTAGCTCCATCATCCTATGGTGTTTAAATGATATCAATTACAAAAGACTTAAAATTCCTTGTGATTACGCGAAATATATTGAACAATATCCAGGAATGAATTGAATTGTGCAAATTTTATACTTTGCAATACTATTTGAAACTCAATATTTATCCCAATCTTAATACATAATAATTTAGAGATAGTTTCTTGACACGGTTACCATAGAAAAAACAAAGCTTCTTGCGTGAATGCTTCATTGAATGAAATTAAAAAAAACCTTATTTAAATATAACGTTATCCTATTCGTACCCAAAAGTATCTTGTATTATCTGATGTTTGTGCTTTCAGTCCCGAGATTATTTAAGCTTCATCTGACGGAAGTAATATACGTTATGAGTGAGTGAGGAACCTTACCTACCTAACCGGTAACCTTTACCAACAGATAATAAATAAACTTAGCTCAGACATCGGAGAATTCTATAATTTGTGAGAAATATATCTAAGAAATATTGATTTCACAGTTATATTACGGTAACGCTTTAAAGGACTATTGAATCCTTTAAAGCGATTCCATAATGTAACGTCATTCAAAGCAAATATTATATAAAACAGATTTGACAGATTGTAAATGCACCGGCAAGCCCTCATGTCTTACAGATATTCATGGGTGGCGGTAATCACTTAACATCATATGAACCGCCGGGTCACACGACTTATCAAATAAAAAACCAGGATCAAGACATGCTATATGCGTCGTAAGTTTGCTTTCCACGTGTATACTGTCACCATTCCCATTTCTCAGTGTAAACCAATTCTCGGTGTGAAACAGGTGACGCCGCTCTATCAATGAAACACTATCAATGGAGTTGTATAATACTTGGACCTTTCCCATGCCCGTAGTAACCGCAGACCTGTGGTTCGCTTTCTTGCATTCGCCGCGATATCCGTTACGTTTGCGTTAACGTCTCCGCGCGGACACGTGGGAGAGGAGACGCGACTGCGGCCGATACAAAATAGAACTTATTCATTGGGCATAAATATTGATTTTGAATGGACGCTTTCGAAATCATTTCAGATTAAAACGTTTATGTGTACTACTCGCTACGAATTACTTGACTATCTGACCTTAAAGTACATTAAAATATTATCATTTACCTACACAACATAAACGTTCTCCCTCCGTGCAAAATTCTTTTTCTATTCATTTTATTTTATTTTTTATAAAAAAATAAAAAAAATATAAAAACATAAACCTTTGATAGTTAGTCTTTCCTGTCGATTATTAAACAAGGTTTAATTGTAACTAACTAATTAATGGGACTGCCATTAAAAAGTTACTCTTTTTTGTAGTTATTGTATTATAGTCTGAATTTAATCGCACTTAATTTTCACTTTAAATCCCAAAGTTTCATTTCTAATACGTTTCAGACATCGTTCAGACATCGTTCGTAGAGAACGCTGAAACTCCCAGGTTCTCATTTTGTTTTCTTTGGTTTACAATCAAGTTCAAAGGCAACAAAACAACAACAACGAACAAAACCGGCCAAGTGCGGGTCGCTATCTATAAAAACAGCAAAAAACTGTTGTATGGGAGCCCCACCTAAATATTTTTTATTATGTTTTTTGATATTTGTTGGGATGGCAGCAACAGAAATACACCTCCCATCATCTGTGAAAATTTCAACTGTTTAACTATTACGGTTCATGAGATACAGCCTGTTGGCAGAGAGAGACGGACAGAATGACAGATAGAGTGCAGTATCTTAGTAATAGGGTACCATTTTACCCTTTGGGTACGGAACCCTAAAAATAGCAACCAACAACGACTTCTACAAATAACGATGACTTTCGGAATGAGCAACGACATTGGCATCGCACTTAAATAATCTCAGCGATCTCATTCGGCCTTAGGGCCTTCCTAACCCAGAGCTAAAAACGATTAAAGCCGCCCCTGACAAAGTGCAGTCGCGTCGCATCTAACTCGGGCGTAAATCTCGCGGGCGCAGCGACACGCTCCAACCGCCGCGCAATGGCCGCCATCGATCAGTGCAATTCGAAAAAGGAACGACGAAAAAGGCGCGCTGTGATTCATTTATACGCGCCCGATGGAAAAATGGCGTTGTGCTCCAGTTTCTCGATGTGCTGCGATGGAATAATTCCATTCCAAACAGCGCGTTGAAATCAGCTCTATGTAGAGTCGCTCCTCTATTTGAGATTTACAGTTAACGAAAAACCAAGGCTGGAAGGGTTGGGATATAGGAAGATGGGTTTCCGTTTGTTTATAAATAGGGTTTACGTAAGACTAGCTCGTGCTTAAGCTATTCTTACATTTTTTTTAGAAATAGTACTTTTTCTGCACAATCTGTTTTTAATAATTTTGTTAAAATAATTATAACTCCTGGCAAAACTCTATCAGACCGCATTATTCATGAAACCCTATAAACGAATTATTTTCCATCATCCACTAATAATGTACGCTTCAAAACAAACAAAGCTAAACATTGTCATTTTAAACCATTTATATGGACATACTACATTTACAACAATTTCCGTGAATCTCTCACACCTCTTCAAAACATTCAACTGAACAATCAATATTAGTATGAAAATTACCAAAAATTTTAGTGGCGAAAAACTGTGAGGTGAGCCATAACTGCAAGAAATTTAGATTATTTAAAATAATATATTAACATTTATTCAAGTTTAAATGTGCTTTCTAATGTTAAAAAGCATTTATTTTTACGAAGTAATAAGTATCATTCAAGTTAATTCAGAATTAAAATTATCACAATCCTAAATGCTTTAAAATTCTATCAGCAGCGTTTTCCAGGACAGCGAATGAAGCAAGGAAATGTACAATAAAATGTTGAGTTTAACGTTTAAGTAAAATGTTAATCAACAGCCATAGCTTTTCATGAGCCAATCTCTAGCGATACTACTTTCTGATTACGTACTACTGTCAGCTACCAAAGCTATAACCAGCTTGCGTCTATTCGCTTTCTTCCCAACAAACTACTTAGTCAAATTCAAAGTCAAATATCTTAACTCAATATATAAGCATTACACTTATTTATTGATTGTCAAAAACTCTACTACCAGTTCGTAAAACAAGCCACTGACCTGAGAAGAACCGGCGCAAGAAACTCAGTGGGACATTTTTTTAAAAATTTACAATAAAATAACAAACGTGTATTCAATGTACTAAATTCCAGTTGAAACATCCTGGAGCGATCAATTCATTTCCAGAGTGTGTTATCATCGCAATAATCACGAATACTATAATATTCTTTAACGCACAAATTAGTTAGTTGTTCGATAAGTGCATTAGTTTTAGTCAAATGCAAAAGTCCATAAAAATAAGTTCATTTGCAATTTATTAAAGAACAAGTCATACGCGGTTTGACAGCAGAGCCACGCTCAAGTTGACCCTTGAGCTTGGCTCTAAATACGTGATGAAGCTCGACAGCTTAGCCACGTACTCATTCTCTAATCGCCAACAGCCACCAACGACTCTACGGGCTCCAACGGGGGTGCCGGCGAGCCCCCGTCGGCGGCCGCGAGCCCCGACGCCGCCGCCCTAGTAGTGCTACAGCCGCCCGCCCCGCCCTACCCGCCTTACGCCCACTACGACGGTAAGTGTAGAGCTACGAAGCTACGAAATAAACTAACACATCCATATGAAGTAGAATACGTTACAATTGCAGCGTTTCAATACTAAACTACATTCAGGATGGTTTTTGTGTAACCGTTTATTGTTTTGTGCCCCTTGCGACAGTTAGAATTCATATCATAGCATGCTATTGCTAGTGACAGATACTTAACATATATAAAAATTTTGCAGCTGATTAGCATTCTATTACCTAATCTATTTTATTTATATATACCCCACTTTCTACTAAACATCCAAGCGTGAAAAATATTGTACTGAATATTTTTAAGCCGTCACGCTTGTCTCTGTTGTATCTTATACATTACTCGGTGCATAAAATGGGGGAACGTCTCAATTCTGGTTGAAATACTCACCTCAAGTTACGACTTGAAGAAAACACTCGAGCTCCGACCGACACCACTCCGACCAAAATCCAATTTTCCGACGCTACTTAAGCAGAATCTCATAAAATCTACGGCCACGGAGAAATCAAACTTGTGGGCATTAATATTAAAGCTAAAACGGAAAATCAGACTTTGGTAGAACGCTTTCTATAAGGGTATGACCACTGTGAAACGAGATAAGAAGAAACGGATCGATGCGTAACATAATTTCTTGGATAAAAGTGAAATATTTAGATTGTTGGTAAAGCATTTCAAATTACTAATTTCACTTCTTTCATTTTCAAATGAAACAAAGAGCTGATTGATAATAAGTATCAAATTTACCAATGTCTAAATGTTACATAAAACTCGAGAAATAAAAAATCAGTTACATATGTTACAAATATTACATCTGCCCAAAATTAACTACTGGAATCTTTCAAATAAGGATTTGACAATTTACGTACTTTCATAAATGACTAGAGTTGACGGTTTAAAAATCGCACAAGAAGTAATATCAAAGCTAAACTAAAAGCTAATAGTAGAAAACTTTCTGTACTAGTAAACATATGTAACAGATTTTTTAAATAGTGTCCTGTGTTAAAGTGGCTTTTATGAACGCAAATTGTTCATTGAAAAACAGTTATCTTAAAATCATCCACATTTTTATAATGGAGTTGAGATCTACACACTACCAACATTGTACCCAACGAGCCATCGCTGTTCTATTTACGTATATTTATTAAAACTAACACTAACACCAATATTGACTAACAAATAACTTCAACGTTCGGCATTGAACCAAAAATTTTGCACAAGATTTCATTGTATGTATATAGAATTAAGGGAGATTATTTAAAGTTAGATTCCCTATTAATTTATACACGCATTATCGAACTAATATCATAAATAGAAGAACATTGGGTAAACGTTATAGGAATCAGCTACCTCTAAAGTTTATTATTCTTTTATGCCTCTCTAGTACGCGGGTCCAGCCATTTGTAAACACTTCTATAGAAGCGTTTACAAACTATATTATATATGTCAAGAAAATATCAAAACTCCCGTTTTGTCTCGTATCACGTAACCCGCCGCATCCCACCACCAAAGCATCACTCTCCCGGTCTTTAATCCACCGCAATCTGCTTACTTGGGTGGGGATTGGGGAGACGTCCTTAATAGCTCATTCGAGGCTATGCAAATAATTTTAGCGAAACGGGGGGAGGCATACGGGCTTTGTCTAAGATGCGTAACGAGCCGTAGCCATAGCGGGTCTACGGCGGGGCGTCTTCAAACGGGCTACGCTTATTTCGGTTGTAAATATTAAAGTGTCATCTGTGGGGTGGCTTTGAGTGGTTACACTCCGCGTAGCGGCCAAGGGGCGTGTCCCGCGTGCGTTTTAAACAGTCGTCTCAGGGCGTGCCTTTTATATCGCGAGGTAGCTCTACTACTTAACCGTCATACATCAGTATCTTCTATGTTAATTTCAGTATCAACCTTGCCTCTTTTAACACTAGTTAGCTCGTGATTAACAGTTAACGCAGTTGGTAGCAATCTTATTTGACTTTCTTGTCAGTTTGTCTAAAATACTTTACTTGTGGATGGATAAAATGTGCCTAAATACTTTACTATTATTTGGTTTTATGCACAGCAAACTTCTTGGTTCGCACGCGTTACACAGAGTTTAACAAAGTGAATAAAAGTCACATCCTACGCCTTTACAATCTCTCAATTGGGAATAGAACCGGTCACTGATATATGTCAGCTATTTTTAGGAATTGAATCGATAAAAAGCCAGTGCACAACAACTGGTGAAGGAATAACTAATTGATTCAGTAGTGAGAATATGCTCGCTTGACATATTTGCCATCTTCTCATTGCCTAAATATTTTTCTTATACTTCTTTTTCTATACTTCTTTCTTACTTAATTTGCCTTAACGTAGAATAGCATGGTGCCGTCTTATCAGAACGTTGTACATACACGATTCGCATGGAAAAAATACCGGAATTCGGAAGAATTACCCGTGGGTCACACAAACACTTGCACCGTCCAGAGAGACACAGACCCCTGATGACCCTGATCACCGACAGAGACCCCTGGTGCCGAAACCAATCGCTTAACCACCATACCATATTTAGAGATGTACAGTTACTAAGGAGTAATCAGTCGTCTCTACCAAAATAAATATTGCCCATTTCGAATCCATATAAAAACTTTTCACAAGAAAACCTTTTAATAAAGTCTTTTAGCGTTTGTCCACATGAAATTTATGATTGAATAACGTCCTTACAACACAGGATAATATATTGTTATAGTATAGGCCATTGTTTTAAGGAAAAATAAATTCAAATACTTTACAATTTTAAATTGTCATTAAAGCGTAACATTTCCTTTTAGGCACGACGACGCTCGCAAGTGAGTATGCATACGCGGCGCCCTACTCGCAATACTCGCCCTATGGAGGACCTTACTCGCATTCCGCTGCTACCGGCTTGCTGTCAAAGTGGTAAGTAAGAAATGTTCCAGTTTTTTTTTTTTTTTTTTTTTTTCAATTTATTGCGATACCGCGTCGGTACTCTACAATATCATGTTAAAAGAAATGATAATTGGCCTACATTTACTGAACACAATAAAAAATAAACTTTTATTGGGTTCATGTTGTAACCGCCTAAGGGAATTAAACTGTGCAAGAGCAAAAACATCATAAAGAAATAAAAAAGTCAAAGTAAATGTTTATTTTTATTTAAATAATAATAAGAAGTAGCGCTATGTAACCCCGTAAGATAAAATGTATACAAAATAAATATATACTTTTCGAATATACATAAAAACTTACATAAATAAAAATACTCGGAGACGGCTTCTTATAAATAACTATTTTTTCTAAATTCTATGATTATAAATAGTGTTTACAAGTGATTTATGGAAACGGGCCAGCTATGTGAATCACCTTAAACTAAGCAAAATGATGGCCACACCACGTTAACCTAAATTCTGTTCTCTCGAGACAGACTTCGGCGAAGCCTTCGACCGCACGTACATTACGACTCCGGCCAGATTTTACGGCCTTTAAAACGCTGGCCCATTTAACAACTGCCGGGTTACAAATGGCCGCGTGTACTGAATAAATCTGAAACGTTTTATCACTCGGAACCGCTGGACGGGCTCGCTTTTAGAGGTGTGCCTCAGGGAGATATGTTAGCGCCTGCGGTTTACCTGCGTTTTAAATTTCCCCACTCTTAATTCGTTTCATCCGTATCTGAAATTCGGTTTTCGTTGCTACAAGCCAATGAGACTGATTGAAATTAAATGTTTATTTTAAATTAAATATCTGCATTGCATTTGACGGTGATCAATATATTCAATTAAATGTGAATAATAGCAATACTATGTATAGGTGAAATAAAGTACGTTTACAAATAAAATACTTTACATATGGCATACATGTCCCGTGACCATGTGGCGTACATGATCACGGGACATGTATGCCATAAAATAAATTGTTTTAAATCTGAAAGTGATCGAAACTTCGGGAATTAAAATAAACAATTAAAGAGTTGTAGATATTCGTGTAAATATATGAAATTACCAAATAAATACATGTAAATAAAACTATTCGTTCTAAGCAGTTTTAATAAAACATACTTTCAAATTCGCCTAGCTTAATTATAATATATTTATTTGAGTAACACAAATATAAACTAAAATAAACGTACCTTTACATACATCAATTCAAATAAAATGATTTGTCGCTTCAATAAGCTTCATAGATCTGTAGCATCAAGCAAAAGTGACAACTCAGTCCATAACTACTTAAGTAAATCTACTATTAAATTGAATCCTCGATACGATCAAATCTAACGTCAACATTTTATAACTTGCAATTTTTTTTGCTTTGTTTTTTATTCCTAAGTAAAATCTTTAACATATTTTGTACAGAGTTATTAATTATTATACATTATGAATAAATAGACCATTAAATTTACGCAGTAATTTGAAAAAACAATATTTAGATAAGAATTATACGATATTTACAATATTAAATGTAATAAGGTTATACATGTAAAAATTTAAGCTTTTCAGTGGGTTTTAATGCTTTTCACTGAATTTAATGGTTGAACAAAATAAAATAAATCTTTGAAAAGTTACAAGGGAAAACATTACTTGTGATACACATAAATTAGCGAATTTATTACAGTAAGTTTTTGCCGAATAGCGTAACTTAATTAGTTCTGCAGATATAGTCAAATCCATTACATTAACCATTTCTCTCATGACGTTAAAACTTGTCACCTATTTTAACTTTTTCTTAACTTTTAAACTTTCTAAACTTTGATCACTGAGCTAAAATCACTACGTAATTTGACGTAAAGAAACACAGATTGTTAAAAATGCGCAAATAGCAAACGGACACAATAAAAGAATGCACTTTCGCACATTTGCTGCCGCGTCCTTTATTCCTCCCCGGGGATCGCAGACAAAGGGCCGGGTGGTCCCTGGAGGCGGGAGTAACTTACGGGCATTAAATTTAAGTGATTCCACTTCGATCGCTTGTAAAGTTATCCCGGCTTTGGGGTGTATTCAGCCCTTTATGTTAAAGTCGAAGGTGGCACGAAGTCAAGTTAACGCGTGCCATTGCAATATATAATTATGTCCTCCCTCTCTATAACTTTTCTTTTGCAACTTTGTCTTTGACTGTCTAATAATAGCTATCGGATGGTAATCACTCCCGATGATTAAGTTTTTGTCAAATTACTTCAATTTTAATACTTTATTGTTGCAAAAGTCATAATTTTGATAAATACCTTGTCACTAAAGAAAAGTAAAAGCAGCCTATACATGTCCCACTGCTGGGCAAAGGCCTCCTCTATACAGAGGGTATCAGGGCATAGTCCACCACGCGGCCCCACTGCGGATTGGCTGACTTCACATATCTTCGAAATATTTTTTTTATTATTTCGAAAATATGCAGGTTTTCCTCACGATGTTTTCCGTCACCGCGGAGCACGTGATAAGTCAGCACTTAAAGTTAAAAACTTCATTGGTGCTGGCTCCGGGGATCGAACTCAGGTTACTCGAGTATATTGAATTAAAGGCGCCCGGACACTGAGTTATCACGGTCACTAAAGAAATCAGGGGCCTGTTTAATTAATTAATTGTATGAATGAATAATTAATAATTGAACATGTTAAGCCGTTTTTCCCTATTCCATTGAAAATAGCGTGAGTTTGACTGTTTGTCAAAGTGATAAAACTCAGGCTGATTTAAGTTATACTTGTGACTATTATGATATTCATTATTTAATAAATGTTACACTATTTTTTTTATTAACCATCTACCGTCTGATTCCAGATATCAGAGAACGCCGTGCGAGCAGTAGCTATCGGCGATAAACAACGAACAAACAAAGTGACAATGGACGCATAATATATGAACTTGTGAGTGTTTTAGTTTAACGAAAACTCGACCCATTCCTCCGGAGAATCTCACTTATGCATATGTAAAACTACATTAGTTACATTTCCAAACCCTCTATGGTCAGTACGCAACCGTTGTTTATTTTCTTATGTACTTCATTCCTGATCAAATTTAGCTGTAAATATCCAGCGGTTCATTTATACTCATTATGTTAAGTTGAATGAATTCACGTGGGAGCCAAAGTGTTTGTAAACTTTCATTTAGTCTAAGGTGTAAATAAAACAAAAATGTAAACGATGAACCCAAATGCAATTACATTTTTCGTTTCCTTTACCTCAGATTGGATAAAAATAGTTAGCTATGCTAAGTAGCATGCTTTTTACGTTAAAGCATTTTTTCGTAATAGCTGTCCCGAAGCACAACGGCGTAGTAGGTTCATTTAAAATTACAAATGAAAGAGAATTGTTATTATTCCTGTAGCTTAACTAACTTATTATTTTTATGTTGTTATAAATATTAGTTTCTTATATATGGATATTTATAATGCTCCTATAGGTAGCTGCGAGTTGTAACTGAGGCGCGACTCTTATATTGTCTAATGTAATATTAAATGAAATTACAATGAGATTATTTGTGTTTCCTGTTTTTTTTTTTTTGTACTTTTTATATAAACGCGTTTAGTTTCTAAGTACGTTGTGTGAATAGAGGCCGCTAAAGCGCCGAATATAATTACAACGTAGGAAAGACAGATTAATATATTCATTTACGTTCCGAACTCCTTGGCTTCGTCAATTTTCAATCTCCGTACGTGTTAGCGGCGATAGACTCTGAATTATCGTTTCCGTCCATTATGTTACAGTTAGCTAATTTTTAATTAATCAATTTCGTTGTAAATAGCGCTTAGTAATTAATTTTATGTTTATTTAATTTTTTTTTTGTTTCTTTCGTCTTTACCCGATTTTTACCGATGATAGATTATATTCAATGTGTACTTAACGTTCTTAATTCGTTGCGAAAAAGTTTAACATACAGTTTAGAGATGCGCCAAAGACTTTGATATTGTAATGTCTTTACATTGAGGTGTGTTTAGATAAGCTTTTCGTTGGTTAGTTAACAGTTATGATTTTAACGTGCCTACGTTTACGGTATCTTAATATTTGATTCTGTTGATATTGGTGATATCTTTAAAAATCTTGACGATTACTCTGTACTCGCGTTTTATTGCAATGGTTTTTTGACCCAGAGAATGCATAATTGATGTATATTTTCAAGTTCGTATAAATCACACAATTTTCTTCATCTCCGGTGTTGATGTATCAGAATCTCGTCGAATATCAGATCCGAAGATGGTTGGCTATAAATGAACCTAGATTCGCAACGTACAAGTTGCGAATCTAAGTTCATTTATAGCCAACTGTAATGAATATCATTGGAAATCAACCAGTGAATTACGAACAATTACATTTTAAATAACGCTGCCTCCATAATATGCACTATGCCTTTTATCTAAACACACCTTTAGGGAGCTGTTGATACAATGCTGCGGTTATGTTACGCGATGCAATTTCATTGCCAAAGATGAGAGAGGCGTGGCGTCTTCTAGTGCTTCTAAGTTGTACACCTCTGCGAATGTCGCATAAAATGAGTAAATAAAGTTATTTTAGACAATGAATTGTTTGAGATTCGAAGTAACACTTCTTGGGTTTACGAAGTCACAAGTCTCAGTAAATGACATAGTTTTAAGCAAAAATTTGTTTTTGAACTGAACAGCGTGAAGTGACCGTCGTTTGACATGCAATAAACGTATATAATAATGTATTGAAAAATTATATAAGTGATCTTCCATAGCTCACTTCATTTTATACACTTGAATTTTGCATAACCGCATAGAAGTATTACTTCGTAACCTTTAAGCTGATTGTGTAGTATTTCTATGTGCATTATAATATATTAACTTATAAAGTGTTTATTCCTAAATGAAATTTTATAAATTTATTTACAATGTAAAGACTGTTTATGTTTAATTTTATGTCAATGCTCATTGTATTGTTATGAAATAGGTAACCATTGTAAGTGCATAGTAAGTTATCATCAACTGTATAATTTATTAGAATAGATCGAGCCTAGAAGACGACGCTAACCTAGAGCTGTTCCCCATATTTTTATATCATTACGCTGTCTGTACATCTTCCTCTATTTATATTACTTAATTGTTTTCGTTTCCTGGAAGCATATCAACTTTAGTGATACGTCACGCGTCATAATGATATAGTTAGATGGATGTAAGTAAAGTTAACAATCATTATCATTATTATTTTGTTCGTTTTAATTTGTACTAAGTATATTTTTAAGGCAAACGCACCAGTACGAAATAAAGGCATATGAATTTATAGATGAGATCGTTTCATTTCCAATTCCCTTGTAATTTATGGTTGCGTTATGTGCCGTATAGCTCATTGTCCACGCGCTCGCTTTTAATTCAACCTGAGTTCGATCCCCGGTACCAGCACGGTAAAGAAAAACATCGCGAGGAAACCTGATATAAACAAGAGAAGAAAAAAAACTCTGGAAAATTCCATTGAGAATGCAGAAGAATTTACTATGTTAAGGACCTAATCCTAACTTACTATGTAAATAACCTCTTATTATGTAAATAAGAGTATGTTTGTTAATCATAATTAGCTAACAGAAATACGTTTACTCTCAGTGATAGACGAAGCTTAATAAACCACCAATTATCTTTACTATTTTATGTAGAGACTATTTATTAATTATCTTTCTTATTCGCCAGAAGCATTTTCGCTAACTAAGCTAACATTTAAACTAACCACTAACTAACATAAAATGATAACGGAATATAATAAATTTCTTTAAATTACTTTCTTTAAATGACCCGATTGGCGCGTGGAGAAGTGAATCTGTCTCTTACGCCAGAGGATATAGTTCGAACCCCACTACTGGAAAAATTTTGTGTGATAAATATATCATAGTGTTTTTCCAGTGTGTTTATATATGTAAAAAAGTAAAGTAAAGTAACAGCATATACATGTCCCACTGCTGGGCACAGGCCTCCTCTATAGAGAGGGTATCAGGGCATAGTCCACCACGCGGCCCCACTGCGGATTGGCGGACTTCACATATCTTCGAAATATTTTTTTTTGTTATTATTTCGAAAATATGCAGGTTTCCTCAGGATGTTTTCCTTCACCGCGGAGCACGTGATAAGTCAGTACTTAAAGTTAAAAACTTCATTGGTGCCGGCACCGGGGATCGAACTCAGGTTGCTCGAGTATATTGAATTAAAGGCGAGCACCCGTACACTGAGCTATGACGGCTCTGTATAATTGTATAATATGTATTTATTTATAAAAGGAAAATATATTCAAGTATGTTTCTCTGTTTTCTAGTTACCATAGCACAAGCATTGCTTAGTTTAGGATTATAGTAGTTATACAAATACAAATGTGCAAAAATGTGTCCATAAAAAATTGTAGTTGTTTTTTTTTTGTTAGCATCGGAGTCAAAATCTAATGAACAACAAGAAAATACAGACATGTTTATCATTACAGATTTCTTGAAGTTTTGTATAAACCTCTTTGATGAAAGATCAGTAACGTACCTCTATAAGGTAGAAGCAAGGTTAATTGAAACCTATATTAGAGAAAAAGAGTTGGTATAGCTTTAAAGTTTAGCTGGATATCCGAAAAAGCGCGAGGTCTATGTCTTTTGTTTAAAAAGTATCTCATCCTTATCGCATAAATTAAGTTTTTATCTGTAAATATTTTGGCGTAAGACATATTTTTGGATTAAATAAAACCACAGAAAAAACAAATGTACCTAATGACCTCTATCGATATGAGCATGTAACTGCACCTCGGGTAAAAAAAATGCTAAAGGTTAACAGTACTGGCGGTAGATGGCGCAACATTCTATTCAAGACACAATTTATTCGATCATTTTATTATTTACAATTATTACATTAACTTTATTTACAAACTTTTTCCATAGATTTGTATATAACTTTTTAAATTGCATGCTAAATAGTTTCTTTCTTTAAAATTTGTAGAAAAAGTACGAAAAGATTGTCGCCGCTGTGGGAATCGAACCCACGTCTTCGGCATTCGAGACCTGACGCTTTTAGCCACTAAGCTAAACGGCTGATGGCCACACCGACGAAAATGTTAACGACTTTTTATCTACATTGTTTTTTTTGGCATTTGAAGCAATGCTTGGCGCATCCATTGTTGCATCCTTTCCAGCATACAAACAATTTCGAATATCGTTTTACAATGATAATTCGAACAAGAGAGTTTCTTTCTGTTTAGAACGGGAGTGCGCGGAAGAACACACCAATATTTCATCACCATAGGATTAATGGAATTCGTAGAAGATGAACATTTCAACATTAACGTTTATTGATATGAACAGGTTAAAATTGAAGATAGCTTATTCAATACTCTCATATTAATTCTGAACTGTGATCATTCCGACAGTTATAGTGATCATTCCCAACCACTTTTATCAGTCACTAGTAATCTTCAAGCTCACACACTATCTTTAAGGAGGATTATATCCGTGGCGACATGTTGTACTAGTAGTTTCCTTAAAAATATGAGGCAGAGTTATAAAAAAATGTCGTCTTAATTACAGCTCTGATCCTCGATTTGCCTTTAAGTGACTTATAATATAAATAGAGAATAACTTGTAAGACATGGAAACCTAGCTAAACAGAAACCTTTACCCTTAAGACATTAGGGGCAAGAACCATATCTTATATAAGCTACCTAAAGTTTGAAGCTCACTAACTTTATATTTTCTGTAATTATATTTATGTAATAAATAATCTTCTAAACTGAGGTACTGAAAATAATACATTATTTCTTTCAGTCAACATGTTCGAACCAAATCTCAAGTTTTCCATATTAACATTGTAAGCTTGTACGCAATTTATTAAGTTTTACCCATCTGAATAATACATTATTTGCAGTACTTATTTGGATTTGATTAGACCTATATTTTATACTTTAAAAGAGTCTGTCCATCATTCGAAAAAGTTCTATGAAAACTATCTAAAAGAAGTATTTTTTGCGTCAAAATGACAGAACTTTAATAAAAATAAAATTACCAATTAAACCGTTTCATAATGACCTAAAATTATCATATATCTGTAATAATCGTATATTTCAATAGAAAAATACACCATGTAAGCGAACGAAAGAAAAAGAAAGGAAACATTCAACAACTATGAGAACTCATACAGTTACAAAATAGATACAAAATGAACCGTGAACTCAGTTCAAGCCAGGAGACCGATCTTTCGGACACTTCAACCGATTTAGAAAGCCAGGCGAGTAGTGTATTTATAATTCCAGATTTCGAAACCAATACACACCGTACGCTATATTAGTGGGTGCCGATAGCTGTGCAGATTCTAGTTCGGAGAAGATCACAGAGAAGGTCTCCGATATTTGTCGAATACTTCCCGAGGGGAGCGACAAAAAATCTATCGGAACCAGCCCTATAGGAAGCATTTTAGAACTTTCGCAGAACAACGGTAAAATTTATAAGAAAATAGGTGAAAACCTTTATTGTTGCAATGAGGTTGTGAAGCCTTACATAAATACACCCTTTTGTCCTAATAATGTTGACTTGGTATCTATCATCAATAATGAAGAAGAAATACAACAGGAAGATCACCCTACTATTAATTATACCGTAAATGAATATGGTTTGTACGATGCTAAAAATTTAACCTCACACCATTGCAATAATAGCATTCAAAATATGAGCAGTTCATCAAAACACGATTACTTTAGCACCTGTCGTCAGGATAAACGCGAAATAAAGGACGGGAATGAGGACAAAAAAATCATTCCGTCATGCCAAAGTAAATCGAACGCAGCCCTGGTGGGACAAAATGAAATAGATAATAAGTCACCAAACTCCACGAAAAACATCGCTAAGCAGTCCATCCCGAACGTATTAAAAAATAATTCGAAAGACGCAATAAAGAGCGCTAATAAGGACGAAAAGATAAAGTCTGATAGAGGATCTGCATGCTCAATCGGTAGACCAAAAACGTGTTGCTCGAACATACTCAAACTGCCGCCCTGTCCATCTAACAAAATTTCCGACACACAAAAAGTTCCAAACAGAGAAAAAAGTCCCTCGTGTTGTTCAATCCTACAAAAATTTAAAGAAACCAACTCCTCTATCGCCTTTCATAAATGCTCCTCTCAATCTTCGAATCAAAACGAATCTCGGACCGGCAATAATGATACCGTAAACTGTGAAGGTTTATTAAAACGTCCCAACACCGCAGGCGAGGACAAAAAGCAGTGCAAGGCAAGCCCGAGCAACTGTTCGAATGTAGTGGCAATAAAGGGCTCGGATGAGATTAATGAAAAAGGTATTGCAGTTATACAACTTAACAAATGCCCGTCTGAGATACTTTTAAAGACCATGCAAAACGATCAGACACAGTACTTAGAGGAATCGATAAAATGTACAGATATGGAAAGCCCTAGCAATGGAGACTTGTTGACTGAACCGCAAAAAAACTTCGGAGCCTATTACGGGCTTCATAACAATAGAATAAAGAAAATGAACGTCCCGAATTGTATTAAAGTCAAAGTCATTCCAACGGACACGAACGTGGTCGACAGCGCAGTTAGCTTAGTCAAGATGACGGTAAATCAAAACGAAACGATCCCGACATGCAAAATCGCTTCGGAGGATTTCACTTCGATGGCTAAAGACTTCTTCGGAAATATATACCAAAAGACGAAAGACGCTATGACCACTATTACTAGTGAGAGTGCTAGATTTCTAGATTTGGTCCGAAGAACATCCCAATCTTGCAATACCGACGACTTATCTTTGCCGCATAGAATTTACGACGACAAGTGCGTGGAGACCACCGCGAACTACTCGCAACAAAGGAGGGAAAGCTACACCTTCATGATGGTCGATCAGAGCACAAGCAAAAGAACGGGACGGGCTAATAACCAGGTTATCATTGAATCGTCAGAGTCCTTAATAAAATACTGCAGTTGCAACGAGACCTTCAAGACAACTGAAACCCATGTCCCGTCTGTGGATCCCCCACAGCCGAACAGCGTGTTTACGACGATCAAATCGAAAATATTCTCCATCTTCCGGGAGGATTGCGATGTAGTTAATAGCACGTTGGATCCGAAGAACTCCAAAGCGAGCACGCAATCGGAACTGCTGATCAGCGACAGCAACGAAAGCCTTACAGAAGAGATTTGAGAAAGACAATACAATGACACACAATACAAGAAAAAAAAAACAATTACATTTCCATTATATCTACTACATGGTTTAATTTATTCTATATCCCAAATAGAGACTAGAACTCCCGTTTTCAATAATAATATGGAGAATAACCCACGCTGATAATGTAGTGTGAAGTGTGCTGATGTAATGTGAAGACTGATAATGTCTGTATAAGGGTATTTGTTTCTCCTCATGACATAGCGGATTTCAATGATATTTAGCAAGGATATTTACGCATTAATATAGATGACGCATGTGCATAATGAGCGGCGTAAATTGTTTAAAAAAATTTTAAATTGTTCCGCTTTATATGACATACAAGTGAATGTGCCAGATGATATGGTAAGAGATAGCAGTCTATCGAATTGCGATCTATTTACACCAATTGGTGTAATTGAGCGTCTCAATTTTTTTCGGTGTGCTAGTGTTCGTATGTTTGTTTATAATATCATTGTTATAACGTAATATCAGTGTAAACGTTTATTCTTCTTCTTTTTCTTCTTCTTCTTCTTCTTCATTGATATTTAGTGCTGATACATCCTAGGGTTTGCTCAAAAATATTTTTTTCGAAAAGAGTTATGCAGGCAAAGCCGATGGTCAAATGGGGAAAAAACCATTGTAAAGTGTGATGTAACCATTTTCTGTAATTGTCTTTACGTCAATTAGTATTGACTTAAATACTCATGCTCCCTTTTAGGCCTTATCTGACGTAACGCTTTCATAATATAAATGTATAAAACTAAGGATTAAATCTACATGAGAAGAAAAAAGTTCTGCATCATCGAGCACCTTACATTGTTGATTACAGTGTTTGTGATATGAGTTAATGGCATTCCAAACTGAAAAAAGTTCAGCATCATAAATTGTTGATTATAATAAATTGTTGATTAGAGTGTTTGTGTTATGAGTTAATGGCATTTCAAACTGAAAAAAATTCAGCATCATAAATTGTTGATTATAATAAATTGTTGATTAGAGTGTTTGTGTTATGAGTTAATGGCATTCCAAACTGGGACCTTAAATTTTTTAAAAAGCCATAGCAGCCGACTAGTGGTGGGGTACAATAAACTTCAACTGTACTATTTTTTTTTTTTAGGTAACTAGTTATCGAGTGAGCAGGCTGCCTACCTAATAGGTAAGTGAATACCGCCCATGGACATCTGCTACACCCGAAAGCTTGCAGATGCGTTGACAAATAGCCCACCGGTTCTGCGTTCCATGAAGCTTCAATAGTCTCGGGACTGAAAGAGTTAACATCAGTTAATACCAAGATACAAGAAGCGTTGACAACCTTCAAAAATGTATTAACCGGCTACGTTACTCACCAGACGATCGAGAAAGTTTAATAGTTCACGCTTCACGCCAGTCTGAGGCCGTGGTACTTCCCCGGACACCTGCCCATTCGTGCAACAGCTGAAGCTGATGCGTAGCCCTACCGCAGTAAAATACTTAATTTGTCCAATTAAAAACTCTACTTCAAAACATGAATAACGGTATCATTTCGCCGTTCCGCCCGCCAACTTTCAGAAATTTAAGTATTCATAATATACCAAATATACAAAAGTTAGAATTTCTGAATAATGAAATGGAATGCCATAAGGAAAACAAGCGTTATTGTGTTATGGGTGGTAGTAAAAAATAAATATAAATGCATTGGTTTCATGCGAAATTGGTGAAAAATCGACCACAGAGCACGTGTAAATTGACACATTAAACGTAAATACTTTTAATAATAGCCAGTTAAATATTAGTAGAGAAGATACTATACATACAACAAAAACCTTTTTGGAACGCGAGCGAAACTCACTGGCCACCTTCTAATTTGTTCGATCGAACTGTCTATCAAATTGTGTCGTCTTTTCCCCTTGTCGAAATCGTCCGGAGACGCCGCAAAATGAAACAAAATTTTAGTATCTGACCTCTTTCACCAATCCACCCCATCAATATGAGTGAGGACAACCCGCAGGACCCCAAGAACGTGAAGATGAGGTGTCTACCGTGCGTGATGCCGTACACGGAGGACGTCGGGAATCTGGTACAGTCGGGGAACAGGCAGGCGAAACCACAGCAGAAACAGTGCCACGGGAATGTCCAAGACCACAGCGGCTGCCAATGCACGCCCGAACGGCCTTGCTGCAACTACGAGGATGGAGAGCAGCAGTCCACGGGTCAATCTTAAGCCAGGTAAGAAACCGAACTACAAAAATATGATGCCATAAAAAAAACCCAGTTAATGTTTACTTTTTTTGACACGTTCGTTTTTAACGTACAAATATTTTGAAACGACAGCGGAGATTTAGATTAGAGTCGTCGTCGCTCCGCTTTGGTCTACATTTTTATATTTTTCCCGCGGCCACCTAAAATATGAAAATGTACACAATAAATTATTACTGCTCTCCAAAAACTGTACATGGCGAATCCCACTCTATTGCATTAAAATTAATAATTCTATTTTAATAAAATTGTAGATGTAATGTAATAGTTTTCATGTGTCTGGATTAATGACGAATGTCTCTGGCTCCGGAGGTTGTAGATTTGATCCCCATTGCTGGAAAAAATTATGGTGATGAACATACTGTTTTTCTGGTATTTGTGTTTATATATCTATGAGATGTATTTAATTACAAAATAAAGGTATGATTACCTAGTGCCCATAGCACAAGCTTTGCTAAGTTTTAAATAACGTGTAAAAATAAATCGTATTTTCGAATTAATGGCAACTATCAAACTGTATATGTACCATCCATTTACTACATATGTACACTCACATTACTTTTCATCTTGTGAGAATGCCAATCAATTCGGAACTTATGCAAGTATACCAAAATTTTAGATCCAGTAGTGTCAACGATAAGACATCTTTTCATTTTCACAGCTCAGACGCAACAATTTCTTTGAACCACTACGGAGTGATGACGAAGAAACAACATGAACGAGACTTACTTAGATGAGGGATCCGAGTTCCGCTTGGAGAAGCTTAAAAAGCCCGAAAATGGTTGGTGTAAATACCGCATTTATTTTATAAAATGTTGAGTGTCTGAATATAGTTGTAATTTTATATACAACTATATTTAGGCACAACCATTTCGTTCAGTAGTCCATAAGTGCGTTCCTGAGCTGAGGGGTTTCATTTTCGGATTTATTACTCCCAACAAAGATCACGGTAATAAATAAGCAAGACTTGCATTTTGTTTATAATTTAACGGATTGTTGTAGAATGTAGTTGTCACCTATCCTTAAGAAAATGTCTAAATAGCTCAAGTGAATAAATCGTTAGGGAAAGCAAAGTACCACAATTGAAAGTTTGTTACGGTATTTTGATGTTCTTAAAAAAACTGTGAATGTATGTTAGATTAATAAAAAGTAATGGTGACCCAGTCTAAATTTGACCATAAGTTTTTTAAATGGTAGACTGTTTAATGTTTTTTTTTTCTTATTGATTTAATGCTTTTCAAAATTAAAAAAATAGCATAATGCGCTCCTTCTATATATCCATACTTTAATATTATAGATGCGAAAGTAACTCTGTCTGTCTCGCTTTCACTCAAAAACTACTTTTTTTTACGATTTAAATGAAATTTGGTACACAATTAGTCTAGAACCAGAGAAAGGACATTGGCTATTTTTAATTGGAAAAGAGTGTTGTAAAGGGTTGAAAGATATTTATTTGAGGGCTTCAACGCGAGCGAAGCCGCGGGTTAAGAGCTACAAAGTTTTTTTTTTACTTTACGCATTAATATATAGATAAGTCATCAATGTGCGGAAAGTCGATGGATGCAGTCTGTGGGAGAGGCCTATGTTCAGCAGTGGACTCAAACAGACTGATTTCAGTCCGAATCCACTGCTAAATGATGATGATGCAATGATGATGATGATGAGGTCATCAATAAATTTGTCATCTGAATCAATCATCAAAATTCTGAAGTTTTTGCTCAAAGCAACTTGTCTATTGCTCTATCTAGGGAGCGAGTCTTATGGTACGGTATTTACCCATCTTCAGCATTGTTCATTGCTTTGAAGTTGAACCATTGAGTGAATATCAAATTGAAAATCAATATTCTCTTCCAGTTGCCGGCATCATTTTCGTTAAGTCCTGTGAATATGTCGACACATCACTGCCCTGCGAGAATAGACTCGACTTCTATAAAAAAACTATTGCGCTGCCGTTCCTCTGCTTGGAGCGGATCAAGAACCCTATTGTAATAAAAGACGACAAAGACGACCAGACGAAAACAATTTAAATTTAAACACGAGTGTCACGAAATAAAGCTCTTTTAAATATTCGCAATGTTGTATAATCTGATATGGTTTGTGCTATAAAAATACTTGACGTGTTTTTTATTAAAGTTCCTTCTTCTGACGTATTTGACGTATTTGACGTCTAAAAGAACCGTTTCACTTTTCTTTCCTTGGGTTTTTCCAAGTTTTTGATTGATTGAAAATTATTTGTTACGCCAGAAAGTAGTTGCGGGGGCTGTAAATCTAGCAATTTTGCATGGTGAGGGCGCATTAAGAGTCCGCCCCACTTTCGGTGTAAGTCCTGCACTTCATCACATCGTTCATCATCACATCGTTCATCATCACTGACGATCTCGGATGATATATTCTGTGGGACACCGTGTAGGCGGCAGCACATTAGCAACCCTACGGGTTTTGCAAATGTTCATGGGTGGCGGTTATCACATAACATCAAATGAACCGTCAGCTCGTTTGGCACTCTCTCACATTTAACAAGTCATTAGTAACTGATCCGAAAGCCACCGTCCAATTTGGAAACACCCTAAAAGGCCTGGCCCTGCAAGAGCATAGTAGAAACGGCACGCATGAACACCAAAACATGATACATCCTTTATCCTCGAACTCAATAACTAAAAAAACCGGCCAAATGCGAAACAAACACGCGCACGAAGGGTTCCGTACCATTATTTATAAAACAGCAAAAAAAATAAAAAAGAATGTTGTATGGGAGCCCCGCTTAATATTATTCTGTTCTGTTTTTTAATATTTGTTGTTATACGGTCAACCGAAACACATCTGTGACAAATACAACTGTTCAACTATCACGGTATACAACCTGGTGACAGACGAATAGAATCCCGTTTTACCCTTTAGGCACGGAACTCTAAAAATTATGATGACAATCCGGGAAGACCTTTTAAGACTAGAGATATTGGCCAACTTTGTTCAAGTTTTGCTTCATTGAAGAGTAACAAGAATTCTCACGAAGACTAACGTAATAAATTACATAATTGTGATTCCTCCTGCCCATAATTGGTCGGTACAACATATATAAAATGTTGCTAGTTGTTTTTGGTAAGGGAAAAAATTCATTTACAGAATGGATCTTATATGTATATTAAAAATTAATGTATATAACAATTTGGAAGATCTTGATTATATAAAATACTTATAACTATGTGTGATTCAACTAATTCAAACCTCCCGTGGCCGTAGTTCTTATTTGATATAGCAAAAAATTTTAATGTTGACATTTACAATGTAAAAATTATAATGTTAATTTTAAGTGCTCAATTATCATGAGCTCTGCGGTGAAGGAAAACACCGTGAGAAAACCTGCATATTTTCGAAACAATAAAAAAAAACAAATATTTGGAAAATATGTGAAGTCCGCCAATCCGCAGTGGGGCCGCGTGGTGGACTATGCCCTGATACCCTCTGTAGAGAGGACGCCTTTGCCCAGCAGTGGGACATGTATAGGCTGATACTTTACTTTTACTTTTACATGTAAATAACTAATATTTCTAGAAAAAATGAGATAAAATAATTTATATAACGAACAAAGAATAATATAAATAGTAATTTCTCACTCGTTGGTCATTGATTATTTTATACATAATTTTTTTTGTTAAGTTCTAAATAATCATTACAAAATATATAAAAGATTCGTTTTATTAAACTACAATCGTTTATCAAAAACTAAACGTTTGTTTATCATACTGGCCCTCTTACGAGTACAAGTTTCATGAAGAAGAAGAATGACACTTGACAAAACTGTAAACTCCAAACCAGCCGTTTGAAAGAAGTTTTTCAAAAGCTTTTCAAAAATGATACCAATATGATAACATTCAAATGAACAAAATAACATGAAAACAAAAAAATGCTTTACAGAACCAACCCCTGAACCGCCACCTCCGGATCCTTGCAAATTACAAAAGATCAGAGAGAAAGAGAAAGCTGGTATCAAAATCTGTCAGAGACCGCCAGTTCCCCAGCCACCACCGCCGCCACCCTGTCTGGCGATTTGCATAGAAAAGGTAAAAAATCCACCCATTGTGATAAGTGCTCACCAGCAACCTATTATTTGTAAAGTTGAACGCGAGAAGACTGGAACGGAGAGGTGTGAGAGAATAGCAGCGCAGACAGTTGGACGCCCTGATATACCTTGGCCCAGGTGCCCCCCGACACCCACGATACCGCCACCCCCCACCCCGGATCCCTGTGAGGAGCAAGCGAAACGTAAGAAAATTGTCGAATGTAAGGAAAGAATGAGAAGATACCTAGAGTAAGATGGAAAATCCATGTCAATCCTCAAGTGTGTTAAATGGCAGAAGAAACGGAAAGCCGAAAACTCATAAGAAAACCCTTCTGGAGACAATTTTGGAGAAATTTCTGTCGAAATACGCCAAGTGCTCGGACACAAACGTCAGGCGGAAGCCGACAAATATGGAGAAACGGATCGCTAAACTGGAGGTGCTGATTAAAAGACTCCAGCGTGAGATATGCGAATTATCAGCGAATGCCGGGGAATCATATGAGGAGATGAGGTGCCCGAACAGAGGCCTCACAAATTCAGAAGGTGAGAGTACATACTCTTGTTCACCGTGCCAAATCGAAACGGTGATTGTTAAGGACATCAATTTCAAGTCGTCAAAGCTCCTCGAAATGGGGACCGATATCCGCAGCCTGGAGAAAATTCTCGATCTAGACGCCTCAGATCGGAGAAAAAGTGCTTTGATCAAACTGTGCGAAGAAGTCGAGAACGAGTGTGAGAACAACAACATGGAAGAGGAAATCGATGAATTGATATACGAGCTCAAATCAGAAGTATGCAACAAGCACACTTCTGTGAGAAACTGTGCAAGCACCGTGAATAATTCGAAAGAAAACTTACCAAGAAGCTCTTGACAGTTTAAATCGAAATTACAACAGTATTTAATTGAATGTCGATCACTTGTTGTCCTTAAAATCTCAAGTCAGTGAAATAAATGAAAATTATTAACCTAAAATTTGTTTTGTCCCGTTTCATATATAGTTTAACGAAGTTTCCAGCATTTATTTGTCCAGCTATGGGTATTTTTTTGTTATTAATTGGTTTTAAGTCAAGAAAAAAATTATTTAAATTTTTTTTAAACAGTACTATATTTGTTTTAAATATATTAAATGTAATATTTGTTATTTAAAACTGATTTATTAGGTGCATATCACGATATCAAGGAGCCCCACCACGTCGACGACGTCATGGAGCCTTCGATACTTTCCAGAACCATTTCACTACGAATAAAAAGGAAACATTATTTACTATTAACTAAAAAGGGAGTAATTACAGAATAATTCTTATACATCGCCCCCATACTACAAATAATATTGCTAACCACAATAATTGTTATAATAACATTTTTTTATCCAAAAACTACGGATTAATAATTATTTCTTATTCATTTAATTATCAAACGAATAGCAATGTCGAGTTCATACGGTTACGCAATAAACATATTCAAACAAAATTTAAATACGATATTTGTGAAGAGGTAGTCGTTATCTATCTATTTATTGTGCAGTATTATTTACAATTTCACAATATTCACAGCCGTGTGTTTAATAAATAACTAAACAAGACAAATGTGAACTGTCGATAGAACAAATTTTTTTTGTCAAAGCCTTTACGGCTTACTCATGATATCGGTCGCCGTCGTTACTTAATTTTCCTGATTGTAGATATAGTTATCTAACAAAAGAGATCTTGTTTTAATTTAGTCCAGTTTAGCACAAAATTCTACTTTCGTGTATTGCTGAAGTGAGAATTAAATTGGGTTCAATTTTAGGTGTTTTCTTCATTAATGAAACAGCAAAGTCAAAATTCATTTAAAAATTTAATAGCACTAACAGTTTTAGTATATCCCATACAAAATACAACATTAAAATATATTATGTCTATATTTATGAATAGTCAATATTTAATATTACAAGAAGCGATAGACGATGACTAGAAAAACTCATGTTTTCTATTATATAAATATATGATGAAGTCTCTAACAGTTAAGTATATAATTTGTTACGTAATACAACATTAATAATATAGAATGTTCTTGTACAATTGAGTACGTTTACGAAGAGACAGCAAAATATGTATTACAAAATATAAATTTCTGCTTTGGCACGCGTTCATAAATATATATCTTCCTCGTTGCCCTATATCTTAAGGCACATAGCCGCGATGTCTTCAACTTTTATAGTCAACTACTTAAGAATATTATATTCTGAAACATTCTCAATAACGCTTACTTTAAGGAAAAGCGTCATTTTTAAAACATGTTGAACCGCAGTTCAAATAAAACCTGTGTCAAACTGCGACATAAAAGTATCGAGAATACACAAAACAAGCATACCCGATTGTGAAATAATATAAAACTTTAAACATTCCAACGTCGAAACCAATTTCATTGGCAAAAGAATAGTTTCGATACGCATTATCGCATTTTTTAATCATAAAAATTAACATTACCATAAATTTACATCATTTGGGCTACAAACGCTCAGAACAACTATTCATTAACCCTGGATAGGTAGATTAGGACAGGCACTCATAGTGATTACATTTATAGAAATAATTTTACCACAAAATATACTTAATTACAAAATATCTGTATATGAATTAAATATTTCATAACTAACTAACACACCTGCTTATAAGACTCGCTATCAATTTATATAGTTATATATTCCCATTAAATTACATTTTAAAATCAATTTATTTTGGTCTCCACAATATTTAGCTGTTTTCCTTAGCTTACTTAAGAAATGTTTGGACATTTTTTTTTTACTTCAGCAACGACGTAAAATCAAGCATTCGAAACGACTACTATTTACAAATTATTCAATAAATACCGGCATCTCTTCAACTCGGAGGAGCTGCTACTGGGGTAGCCCAAAAACCCTAAACGGGCAAAAACCCTATATGGTTGCCAACCATATAGGCACAAATAGAAGCCAAAAATACTGCACAGTTTAATTTATTTTTTTCTCGGAGGAGGCTGCATCGGAGGCTGGTGGAACGGGTGATACTGCCTGGATAGGATGCTCTCCTGAAAAGTATTTTTTTTTCTGTCACAGCTTTCCTTACATTACACTGTTAGACTTATTACAACACAAAGGATACTGACATACAAAAATATATTTAATTATTTATTGTTTACACGCCAACTTAAGGCTAAACAAAATGTTTAGTTCATGTACGTTTTGGTAATTGCTCTGGTAAAATATTTAATAATGTACACACCTTCACCTTATTACACATTATTATGGCTTCGTGTTCTCAAGGGTCCGCTGGAAGAGAACTCTTTTTAGGATTAAGCTCGCCTTTGTACATGTTTTTATCATTTGTTCCAATTTTCTATATTATAATTGTGTGTACAATGAAGTAAAAAAAGGCAAACTTAATGCTAATAAGCATCCTCTTCCCTCGGAGTAGAGAAAACTTGAGTAAAGATTTAAAAGATGTCATCGTCATCTTCCTTCTGCCCTTATCCCACCTAGGTGGGGTCGGCACAGCATAATTATGTCTCATCTGTCGTCAGTTGTAAGCGGTTTTGTTAAGTTTTTTGCGACCGGCCTCCTGTCTGACATGAACCCTCCTTGGGAAACAAACACCCTGTTTCGGAACAATTATCTGAGGGTCACGCAAATATTTGTCCCGTGTGGGAATCGAACCCACGACCCCCGACGCCGAATCCAATAGCTTAGCTGCGGCGCCACCGAGACATCTTTGTCATATTATCTTTATAAATTATAGCGTGTGTGTTATTCTTATGTATAAGGTACATTAATGTAGTTTCATTAAAATCCATTTAGTAGTGTTTGCGTGAAAGAGTAACAACCATCCATACATACAAACTTTCGCATTTATACTATTAAGTAAGGAAGTAAGGATTATTGGCTGTCTAAATATTTCGTTGCAAAAAGGACTATGGGGATATCTTCCAGTAAAAACAACCAGTGTTATTTTAAGCTTATTCTTATCAGTACTTCTATTAACAACATAAATTAAGAACATAAATTTACTCACCACATCGCTAGGGCCGTTCTGTACTCGGTACATTTGACGCTCTTGTAGAATTATTTGGTTTGCGGCGCTGCAAGAGATCTTGTGATACATATGTGCATCGACATTACAAATATTATCTTAATATATAAGAAACGTGATGGCTCAATGCCCGGGCACACTGAATTTTATGTGCTGAATATTTTATGATGCTATGGTACTCAGCGGTGAAGAAAAACATCGTGAGGAAACCTGCATATTTTCGAAATAATAAAAGAAAAAGGATATATTATTTCGAAGATAAATGTTAACTAAGCCAATCCGCAGTGGGGTCGCGTGGTGGACGATGCCCTAATGCCCTCTGTAAAGATAAGCCCTTTGCCCAGCAGTAGGACATATAAAGGCCGTCACTTTAGGCCTTGTAAAATAGAAGTGTTACACTTCTGCGTTTCGTCTGGTGATTGAGGTAGCCGGGGCCGACTTTATTAAAAGGTGGCAACGCTTTTGCAACCCTACGGGTGTTGCTAATGTCCACGGGCGGCGGCTATTACTTAACATTACATGAAACACCAGATCCTTTGCCACTTTTCACGTAAAAAAGCTCCATAATAATATGTATTAAATTTTAGCTTATTTCGCCTGGCTCCTTTTTGTATAATTTCGCGAGGCCCTTACGTGTCCATCTCCTCCTGTGTGAGGTCGAGCGCCTCCTGCATCTCGCGGGAGGTGCTCTGGATGAAGTCCTTATCGCAGTACTTGCCCAGTCCCTGCTCCGCCAGCACCTGCCGAGGAAACCTCAACAATCGAGCGGCAAGACGGGTAAAAGTTAGTGCCTGCCAGGATTCGAGCCTGCGTCACCTTGGCTAGAGATCGTGAGTTGCGTTACCCTGAAGAAGTCTAAAATAAGCAATCCATCCAATAAACTCACATTAAAACTGAATATTTAGTAAATTCTGTACAGAATCTATTGAATCATCATTATTAATAGTGTATATACTGTTTCATAAAGTTATGCTGGGTCGCCGTTTCTACTGTTGCACAAATTGGCTGGCTCGTCTCCCCAAACGAGCCAGCCCATCGCTAGACCGTGGTACTTCCCCGAGTACAACGGTCTCACAGAAGATTGTATTATATGTACGTTGGCATTTCCACTGGTGTGGTAACGAGGTTCAAACTTAAACACCTGCTAGCTCTGGCTCGTCTCCCCAAACGAGCCAGCCCATTGCTAGACCGTGGTACTTCCCCAAGTACCACGGTCTCACAGGAGATTGTATTATACGTACTTTTGCATTTCGACTGGTGTGTTAACAAGGTTCAAACCTACACACCCGCTAGCTGACTCGTACTGTAGCCATTTCTTTTACTCGTAAAGCAACCTTACTCACTCGAGCGATAAGACTCTCCGCTGGATTCTCCACACAATAAGGCACGGTGTTGTTCTGTCTCGGTCTCTTGTCACGATCTATTTGACACAGATTCAAGAAGATAATCAGCTAAGAGTATAACATATAATACAACGATTCCAAAAACGCACAAAAATATTTAGGTGTAATAGAAAAGAATGCACAAACCGTCGTCAAAAACACACAAAAGCACAACAAAATTCCAGCCTAATCGAAATCGAAATGTAATTTACTGGACTAGAGTAAGGGATGAATATGATTTCTATGATAATTATATTTACATAAAATAACATAATAGTGTATATATAAGTATTAAAGTTAAATAAGATCGACTATTTAATGACAAGTAGCTCATTCTAAACACCAACACATAACGCGGAAGTGCATTAGAAATTTGAATTAATATATTTACAATAACAATAATGAATTCATTTATTTATTTTTTTATGAAACATAAAATAATAAAATTACAAATATTAACATGTAACATATTAACGTTAATATTAACGTGCATATTTAAAAACCAAACCGCCTTAAGTTATGATGTAGTTGGATAGAGAAAATTAAGTTATATTGCTAATGGTTTATTTCATATCTATATATCAATACATATTATAAAACAAAGTCGTTCCGCTGTCTGTCTGTCCCTATGTATGTTTAGATCTTTAAAACTACGAAACGGGTCTAGATGCTGTTTTTTTTACTAGAGTGATTCAAGAGAAAGGTTTATATGTATAATAAATACATTGCACCCGTGCGAAGCCGGGGTACGTCGCTAGTTATAAATAAAAATATACATGTTTAATACTTATATTGTACTTACTTACTTATATTGTATTATTATTATTTTTGCTTGACAACATTAAAAACGTGATGTGGATCTTTATAAATTCTTTTAGCCTATTGCCCGCTCATATTTTCTTTTTTTTATTATAAATTACAATAATGTGTTTAAAAATCATGTCATAGAATTAATTTCGCTAATATTTTCAATGAGTGTTATTAACACAAATGTTGTCGTGAAAATGTTAGCAATGTGAAAATTTACAAAGTAGTTAGTCTATGCCCTTTATTATATCCGTTGTATTTATGTACATAAGATTTTCGGGACATAAATATCAATACCTAACTGTAACGTAAAACAGTTGTTTATTAAAAAGCACACAACATTATTATAATTTCATAAAATCATACGTTAGTCGCCACTGAATCAATTTTTTTATCGAGTTAACGGATAAATACAAATAGACGAATTTATAATATATAACACAATCAAAACACACTAAAACAAACTTACGGCTTTTTCTCATATTCTGCATTAAATCGTTCGACGTTTTTCTGGAAACGTTAACGTTGTTTGAGTGCTTTACACTGGCGATATCTCAACGAAACTGATTCCCTTATAACGAAGCTAATAACACTGATCCAGGCTTAACTTCACCATTATTAAGAACACGATACAACTATATTACTCATACGTCATACGAATAAACATCTATCGCTGTTCGATAGCTTCGCCGTGCTTTGGTGTTTATATTTGAAAAGGCTACTAGTACGGTACTTTTGATATATTCCAGATTGATTTTATTCACATCGATGCTACCTCTACAATACAGACCTTCATTTCCGGAAAACGTTATATTGATGGAAACAGATTTAGTAACTCTTCTCAAGAATTAAGGTATCAAAACTATACTGGACTAAATTCATTAGTTTCAATGAGGATAGGGAACACAAAATTAATCGAGAACATATTTACATCAAACTGATCTGTCCTTAATTTAATAAGTCCTAGATATTGGAATAATGAAACAGTAACTACACCAATTTCTAGATGTGTATCCGACTGGATGAAGTGGCAATAACGCTGTCGATGATGAATGCGCTACATCAATAAATATTGTTGACTCTGTCTTGTCCTTACTCGTTTTTAGTTTTTTTTTTCTTTTCCATATCTCAAAAATCCTAGTTAGTCATGATGTAGAATAGATACAGAATCAATTTATTTTTGGTGAATTTTCTGCCTATGTCGAGAATTATGTCAATCTACTTTAAATATAGAATACATATTTTCTGTAGTGCGAATTTCTGTGCAATTGCCTCAAGGGAACTGAGTTTGGTTGATAAACGCAGTGTAAAACATCTGACATATCAATCGATGATTTTAATGTGCCATGATGTGACAGATAAATACAACATTAAACGTCACAAATATTTAATGAATAATGAAAATAAATTTATAGTTCAGCGTTGCAACATAATTTGAAAAAAGTTACTTGTATAAGTACAATTTACATTTATTATATATAGGGTAAAGAAATGGCCAGGTTAAGGAAAATGCTCAAAATATGAGTAGGTTAAGGAATTTATATAGCTCATAATAAGGTTAAACATCATGTAAATAAGAATAATAGCAGTCTAGTATAGTAATATTTTCTTTTATCATGGTAACAAGTTCTTACACCTGGAGATTTCTTACTTTTGTATATGTCTAATCTAAATGAAAGCTACTCACTCTATGACTCTGAATATTCTTTCGGAGTCCTTGCCGTGAAGTAGGGGCTGCATCGCTATTTCCTCCTCACTTTGGTGACCGTCATCGAATTTTCTGAACACAAGCAACATTTTCACGTCGACTTTCAACATAGTTACCATAACCAACTTAAATTCTCTTGAATTCTTCTTGTGTTGCTTGAGTGATATTTTTTCAATGTAGATATTTAAAATTTAATAAACAGTTAATAAATTATTTAAAAATATCAAACCAATTTTTTCAAAATGAAGATATGAATTAATTTACTTATTTCGGAGCATCGATTTCAAGACGTTATTATGCGCTTTTTTATTATTATAGGCAGAATTAAGCTAGTGGGAGTTGAACCTAACCAATCTTCAACCAGGCTTTCCTTGTAATAAAAGAAACGCAATGCAAAATTTTGATAAAAGAAACGATTTTCTATAAAAGCTAGACGCACTAAACGCGAACTCGAAGTTAGACGCAAAAAGTTTGGTTAGAATTAAATCTTTGACCCTTAAACTAAATATAAAAGAGCATATCATATACTTACGAGTCGTCCTCAGGCATTTTTCCATCCAAGCCCAACTCGCGTTGCATCATCACACTAAGCGACTGACCCTTGGATGCACCTAAAGAAATTGCTAGCTATAATTACTACACCATATTGGGCAAATGTAAGACTGGCCACGGTGTGATTGCTATTAATAATTTTGTACAGAACAATGAAGAATAATTTTATAGTGTTGGAGCAACAGCTGGAAAATTATTATTATACCTTACGTAGACTAGTCAATAAGTTCAAAAATATGCTAATTCCTGATAAAGCTCCTTAAAATATGGGCATATTTTAAAAGTCCTTAGATGTTAAACTTGGTGAGTTTGAAACAAAAAAACGAAATACCATCTTAATTTCTTAATAACAATTGCAATTGCAAGCAAGCAACCTTCCTCGAGATAAATTCTTATTGATGTATATAATATCTTCTAGATGCCGAATCGAATGAGCCGAATTGCTCATATTTGTAAGAACTTCATCAAGTGTTTACACCTCTTTGAACTTGTCAAATAGCCTAACAGACTTAAATAGAATTGTAGCGAATTGTACGGATTTTCAATGTTTCTTTTCATTCATAAACGCTGTAAGTTGGGATTTATGCCTATCACGTATGGGATGAGTTAATTTTAGAAGAAGGACAGAATTAGTAATCGCGTAATTTTATTATCCATATTTACCAGTCGATTTCTTCTCAGGCCTGGGCGTTGGTGGCTTGTAGAAGCTCTCCCTGCCACGTTTCTTGATCGTCGTCCACACGGCTCCGAACAGAGTATGATTACGCTGCGAATACAAATTATTATAACTAAATTTATTTTATGCTCTGAAGAAGGAGACGTAAATAGCAACTGTTACTGACTCGTATGGAAGTGTATGTTTTTTTTATGTGAGAAGGTGACAAACAGTTCACCTCATGTTAAGTGATAAGCGCCGCCCATTGAAATTTGCAACATCCGTAGGGTTGGGATGCTACCTTTAATACCTCGCTCACCTGACGAAACGCAGAAGTATATTACTTTCACTTCACACCGGTCTTCTGTGAGGTCATGGTGCATACGGAACGTGACGTGCGGAACTACCCATTCGTGCAACAGCGAGACTGTTGCGTGATCGTACTACAGTCTGTCTGACCATTCAGTTTCATATTTTGATAATAAACTGCAGCTAGTTATTGAAAGCTGACTCACCCTGTGCATGGGTTCAACGACCTCTGACACGATCTCGTCCAAATTTCCCGATATCGCCCTCTTCAATTCGGGCCCAGCTTCGTGTAGGGTCCTCAAACCCGCCTGCAGAGTCATCTGGTTGTTCTGCGCCGCAGCAGCCTGCTCTTTCCGCTTACGGAACCTGTTGCAATTGTGACAGTCCAAGACAGACAGCTCCAAGCGAAATTGACAAATAGTCCACGTGCTCTCGACCACTTTAGGTCTAAATTGCCTTGCGGGGCTTGGTTTCGACTCGCGACGAGAGCATCTAGAGATGCAAATTAGATAATCTCTCGTCTCTAAGTGTGCCCTCTAGAAAAATTGTGTTTACCTCTTTCAACTCCTCTCAACTGTATGGTATATTCCAACAACATGTCTTCTCGATGTGAATTTCTATCGTCATTTAAACATCGATATAACGTTAGATGAAGCCAATCGTAAAAATAGATTAAAAAAAGTTGACGCCGATCCGTACATGCACAATTCCGAGTAGCACAATATGAGCACGCACTTAAAACACAGTTTCAGCACAAAAGTGGGTGGAGAAAAGGCAACGATGTGAAATGTGTGCGATTTTTTAAAGCGGGGGCTGTTGAGACAACGGAAGTAAATAAAAATGATAAAACAAGGAGAAAACATGCTTTGGAATGTATCGAAGTGTAATTTGTGAACGGAATCAAATAAAATCATGCCACAAAAGTGTCACTGATGAGTGAAAAAAAAAACGAACGTCCTCAAAAATGCAGGGAAGCTGAAAATAAAAGGACTTCTTTCACACCGTTATACAATCGCCTCTGTTCTCGATTTTGTTGTATAAAAACTTAATAGACGTTCCTCACTTTTCCATCTTTCGACTATACTTCAAGACATCACGACAATTCAAAATCAAAGTGTTATTAGTCTCTGTTGGCGATTTACCAAATTTAATGTAAGTTAAGTGTAAACTGTCCATTAAAGCGGTCGTCGGCGACAGACTTAAAGAGGAACAAAAGGTGGCTCTCGTAAAGGTGATTGTATATACGCCGCTACAGAATATGAGCATCATTCACAATCAAAACTCCAAAGAAAAGGGTTGTGAGAAAATTCAAGCGGCGCCTCAGGTTCGACAATGCGATATTCCATTATCGATTCGTAAACGCCGAGGCTTTCAAGCGTAAATACAGCGGAAATGTTCTCGGAGTTGCTTATAATATGATGGACTTACGCATGGTTCCTATAAAAATAGAAATTGTTTACATTAATATCTTTCGTCGCGAGTTTTTAAAAATCGGTAAGGGCGAATTTGTGTTGCGAATAAATTCATGAAAACAAAATTCACATAAACCTGATAATTTTACTTTCATTTAAGTTCAATTAGTTGCAGAAATGTATTATTATTTACTATTATTAAAACTTTATTTATAATCATCACAGACTGAGCAAATATAGTCAACAGTTGTTTTTCTAAATATAAGTGCATACATATTTTTATTAAAACTAAAATAGAAATCAGAAATAAGCCAACTACGCGTACACTAGGGAAAAGATTAAATGGGCATTGACTTATATCAATTTCTAAGAACAGCCAATGAAATCTACTGTTACTGATAAGTCTTGGTTCGTACCTCCTAAAGTAATCCTGTATTAGGAATGTCGCGTAGAATTTCCCGACTGTGATCTCGTTGGGATCCCCTGGTGGAGGCACTACTTGGTCCAGCAGTTTTGGTGATGTCCGCTTCCAGATTTTCTTGATGATCGCCCTCAACTCCGTGTTGCACTCGTCAATGACGCCTGTTTTGAAACCGAACTTTATAGGGCAGACGTTCAAATAGACAATTAGACTAATTTTAATTCATAACAACCTACCACTAGTACAAGAGAACTAATTTAAGGTACGTTTTAGTTTGATATCTGATAATTTTAATAGCAACAGTTTTCTTTACAATGTTACTGTTTTAGTGAGACAGTACCGTTGACAGATTTGTCTTCATCTGCTTCTCAATTGTGGTCAATACTGGTCAGTTTAGCTTAGCTTGTTGAATTTGGGTAAAGTTTTTGCATGTTGCGGAGGTGTTACATGTTGTGGAACCAAGCTAGGTTTTGCTCAATTCAGATTAGAATTAGTTGATGATTCCTCGAAATAAGGAATTTGATTTGGATAATCCCACAATGATGACTGAGGTGCAGAGTCGCTATTTAGGACATTTTATTTATTTATTTATTTTATTCATTAGGTTTACCAGCAATTGTTACATTTATACATTCATTAGAATTAGTACACAGTATATTTCTATAGCTAAATGCACAATTAATTAAACATCTGTAGACATCTGTTTTAACTGCCATCTTAAACCTGCTTGGCTTGACAGGCTTCCCTCGAGACAACTGAATCAATGAGCCGTGATAGCTCAGTGTCCGGGCGCTTGCCTTTAATTCAATATACTCGAGCAATCTGAGTTCGATCCCCGGTGCCGGCACCAATGAAATTGTTAATTTTAAGTGCCAGGAAAACATCGTGAGGAAACCAACATATTTTCGAAATAATAACAAAAAAAATATTTCGAAGATATGTGATCCGCCAATCCGCAGTGCCCAATCCATCCATATCATGTATAGGCTGATACTTTTTTTACTTTACTTTAATCCCATAATAAATAAAAAAAAATAGACGAACATACCTGTTGTTTTTATTTGCAGCTGAGTCCGCACAACGGCGAACAATGTTGCGTTAAAGTTGACTGTGCCGTCAGAGTTGAGAGGCATGTTCATCGAGACCAGACGTTTGCAGGCCGTTCGGTGTGGGCACAGCTTGCCGAAACCTTTATGAATCGTGACATCAGTTAGAACAAAGAAGCCATGACGAAGCGACTAAAAGTTAGTTTTTTGAAGTTGTCAACCCATCTCAACAAAACCCTCATGTAATAGGTGTCTCTCATGTTATTGGCTTGACTCTACATCTGGCGAACCGTCTGATCGTCTAACAATTTTTAACATTACAAAAACTCACCCAAAGGTGGGCTGATCTTTCTCAGTAATGTCACCACGTCCAAGTGTTTTATTCTTCCTTTTGCATCTGGATCATATTCGCTCCATAGCCTATGTATCAAAGAAATACAAATTCTGTTTTTAGTTAAATTAATTTTAATATTTTATATGTATCTTCATACTTGAAGTTGAAGCAGGAAAGCTATACAATTAGGAAATTAAGTTTTATTTATATAAATAAAATCAAAATAAACACAGATTATTCATTTGAAGCAAGACGTAATAGTCTAGTTTCATAATTGACTATGGGAATATTTTAAAATGTTTTTATTAATGATATTAGCAACATCTTCATTCGGATATATCTCATTTCTGTCTGGTATGTACTGTACGTAAAGGTTACACACGATTAATAAGAGTTTAAGTACGTTGAAACCAATCGATTTTGTTCTAGGCACATAAACTAAAAAAAATATTTTTACGATAAGAAATAAATATAATAAAATATAATAAATACCGAACGAATTCATCTAGATGGTGGGGTCCAAGAATTGACCAATCTCTTGTCAAGTAGTCGAAGTTGTCCATGATTACTGCGACGAACAAGTTGATGATCTGCAAAAGGTTAAAGTTAAATAAAAAGATAATTATGCTTTACCTATTCATACACTTTAAATAAACTATAATTAAATAAACTATATTCATAAATATTTTTTTCTCAGTCTACAAATAGATATTTAGATAGCTCTTACAATAAGAGGACCACAATTATTAACGATAACATTAATTGGTGAAGTCATTTATTTGTTATGGTCTTAATAACTTAATAATTAGTCGTAGAGACACAAAGAAATGTTAATGTTAATTCAGAGATAAATAATGTTTGAAAATAATTTAAATCTCTGGTTGATGGCGTAAATTGACAACAATGAGTACACTAACCAAAAATGTACAGAGCAGTGAAAAAGATATGAAATAGGGGAATGCTAATGCCGTGCCGCAGACTTCTTCGGACCCCTCGGCCGTGGAATTGGTGGGAATGCATCGAACCGGTTCACCAGGAATCTCCGCTCCGTACGGCGACAGAGACATCATAATGTCTTGCCATGCTTCACCTGAGAGACGTAAAGAAGTTTAGAAGACGGTAATTAATCTTTCTTTAATTGAGTGATCACAATATTTTATAACTAGGCACTGATCAGTTTGTTTTTGTTAAAAAAAACCCTCAGATATGGCAAACCACAGGAATTCAAACTCAAAACGTTGAGAATCGGCGTTCACAGACAATCAGAATATATTACAAACTCTACAAATAAATAAACAAATTCATTTAATTCATAATATACAACAAATACCAAAAACGTAAACTTCTTTAAATAATGTCTCTTCATCTTCACCATCATTTGAACATTTTTGAGTCCACTGTTGATCATAGGCCTTACAGACTCACGAAGAACGATCTTGAACCACCTGCATTTTTTGTTTTTGTGATCAGACGGTTGACTTGATGTTAAGTGAATACCGCCGCACATGGACATCTGCTACACCCCAAGGTTCCAGATGCGTTGACAACCTTTTGAAAATTGGGCTCCGGCCACCGCACTCACCAGACGAAACGCGAAAGTATTATACTTCCACTTTACGCCAGTCTTCTGTGAGGTCGTGGTACTTACCCGGATGAGCCTGCCCATTTGTGCAACTGCCGAGGCTGCTGCGTGGCCCTACCACCGTGAAAATCATCAACTTCCTGTACATTTTCGCAAGTCGTCACTCCATCTAGTGGGGGGTTACACTACAATGGTCAATACGATGCTGCCACTCGAGAACCTTTCTTCCCCATCGGTTATCGGTTCTTTGAGCTAAATGGCCTATTGCTACATAAAAATAAAGTTTACTAATCCTCTGAACTTCGCCGGTTTCTCTTGTTTCATAAATCATAAAATGTGATAATCCACAGGCCTTTATAGTATGCCATCATTAAATTTATTAAGGATAGGGTCTTACAAGTAAGTGATATGGGGTAAAAATAAAAAAAAATGAAGCGAGTGATTGAGTATTTCATCTTAGTTCGTTTCTCACGTCGATATTCTTTTTCTAATGTTGTACTAGGTTTAGAATGTGGAATTAGGGTTCGAACAAAACAGTGAATATGAATCAAAGAAACTTCCCTTATCTAAAGCGGCCTCTAATCATATGATTATGGAGTGATGAAAATAAGGTAACACTGATTGATCTCGAATGTCTGTTGTTTGAGACTCTGTGGTAAGTTAAACATTAAACTATAAGACTAATTAAAAAATATTCACATATTTATAAGAAATTATGCATTATCTTTATCACTTTTGTATTGGAATTGTGTCTCGAAGGATGTTTACACTGGTTTTGGAAGGTAGGTAAGGAGAAACTAAATGCAACCTAAAGGAACCGTTATTAATTATATTTAAATACATTATTTACATTGACTTATGGGAACTTTAAACAAACTATGCAAATGCCAGGGTGAGAACACTCTAGTCACTAATTTCACCTGTTTAAAATTGTCGCCTAATGATTTACTCTTACGAATATGCTAAGTGCGATCATATTGAATCTGAAAGAAATAGAAAGCAAGTTGGTACCATTGATTCTAACTACTATTAGAAGAGATGAGCTCGTTTTGATTAAAAACACACAATTTATAAATTATATTTAATTAATACACAGTCTCTTTTCTTATATTTAGTTTCGACATAATTTTTTTAGTCTTTTAAATCACGGTAATAAATCCCGCATTTGGCAGAAAGAGACTGGATCCAGAAGATATTATGGTTAATAAACAACTAATGCGAATAAATAAAAGATATAACTATGGCAATACGAAAACAAATGGTATAATTTTATCAAGATCTCACCTGTAGCTGATCTAAATAAGACGAGAAGAGCACTGCCAAATGTCCTGAAGTTGTTATTCCTCGAAATCGTTTCCGAAAACTCCACCTTGCCGAATAACTGTAAATTATGTTATAGAATTACAATCGATGAATTAGAAACGATACGCGATTTAATTCTGCAGAAAAGGGATACTGTATCATACCTGCATGCCAACTACAGCGTAGATGAAGAACAGCAGGACAATTAAGAGGGCTACGTAAGGTAGCGCTTGGAAGGACTTGATGAAGGTCCACAGAAGCGTCCGGATGCGCTCGCCTCGAGAGAGCAGCTTTATTAAACGCATGGCGCGGAACAAACGGAAGAAAGTGATGTACTTCAGACTGATCGTCTGAGTGCCCTGCGTTGGAAAACCATCAAGATTTACATTATTTCCACCAAGCGACGAATGCAAAGAATTTATGGATGATAAACAAGAAAAAAGCGAAGCACGAACTAAAGAGGAAGATATGAAAACGGGGAATAAATTGGATTGCGTAACACGTTGCATCTTCGTTCATATTTTACAAGTACGCGAGCCATTCAATGTTTTTAGCCTTAAAAAAATTTAAAACTGAATAGTTTTTTTCTAAAATCCACTACGTAAGAATGCGAATATGCTTCAAAACTTCATACCTCCTCACTTCCTTGAGGTGTAGGAATCTGAAAAATATTAATAGAACGGGATTATTTTTACACCTCATGGATCTGACGGTCACATTATGTCACCCATCCCATTTTCCAGAGCCGTTCGTTAGTGAATTAACCTGACGAGCTCATAAAATGGAATTCCGGAAGACAGTGATCCTGTCCTTTATGTAGACGTGACAATATTTAAGAAAAGAATAGAAGACGGAAGTTTGAAGAGATAAGAGGACGTTCTTCGCCGTAACTTACGCCAGTCGTCGGTTTCGGGTTATTCTCGTTGGCCTGCGTTACCACGATATCTATTATGCTGCCGACCACCAGTATGAAGTCTGTAGTATTCCACGCGTCTCCAAAATAGTTCTGAAGTGAAGGAAAAAGTGGGAAATTTCTTTAGAGTAAAATGAGAGATCGGTGTAAACTATTTAATAAAGCACCTTTTGTAAATAAAGCTCTCGGAGATAAACGGGAGCGTCAACAGCGCTTTTGTCGTTCGGTAATTCTTATCTGAGTCCTTCTTCGTTTACAATCCTATTTTTTTATTTGTTTTGACTGAAGAGTAAAGTTGTGGCATAAATATTTTACGCACTTACTCATCAGACCACGCTTTATGTCTAAATCGGTTTATAAATTATGACCCTTTTTACTTCAATTTTGAGTCTTTTTTAATAATAATTATCATAAGTGGACTTAAATCAGAAGTCTCCTATTTAATGTTCATTTTATCTAACTTCAAATAACTTACTTTAAATCTGAAGGCAGCTAGCTTGAACACGAACTCCAACATAAATACCGTTGTCAGCAGCATATTCAAAAAGTCCAACACCTAGAACAACGCAAAAAAGAAATTTTCATTGAGATCTTCAAATTTAAATTGCATAACAAAATAAATATATAATACGGACTTGGAACAAAAATATCATACGGTTACAGAAACTTTGAACTTCAATAATGTGTTATGACTTAATAATTTCAAACGTCTTGTAAAAGCTAACTTAATTTAAAGGACCTATTATATTGTCGAGGAATACATTGAGGACAATGACTCTTGCTCTGCACTTGCAAGCTCCCTAGCTCCTACTAATTCTACCTAATACTATTACCTAATACCTAAATACTATTGTGTATATACTTACATGATTCAAAGAAAATAAAAAAAGGTAAGACCGCAAAGTTTGTTGGCAGTTCTTCTCTGGCAGGTCTAGTTTAGTGACCGGGTGTAAATTTTTGACGTTCAATAAGAGCTTAAAATAAGCCTATATTAAATAAAGAAATTTTGACTTTGACTTTGACTTTAAAAATTGGCAACGTACCTGTAAGGCTAGCAAACTTTACATATAAAAAGAATCACTGACCTTCTTATACTCCGGGGAGGCGTTGTGAAATTTCATCATCAGAGCAACGGTGTTAAGTACGATGAAGAAGAATATGACATATTCGAAACGTGGCGACGTAACGAACCACCACGTTTTGTACTGGATCCGATGCTTAGGTATGTACCTGAAATCAAATAAAGCCACAGATTTTAACGAAGTGTTGTTGCAAAATAAACTTTGTTACGTAAGGTTACATCATAAATTCAAGTAACACACAAAAGGGGCAAGAAGCCGCCAAGCTTAAATTTGACTGGGCTGATCATGTCTGCCGCATGCCTAACACCTTTTGGCCCAAATCTGCTACCGAATGGGTCCCACAAAATGTAAGACGGGCACGCGGCAGGCCCAGATGGAGATGGCGCGACGAACTGGACGCATTTGGTGAGGGATTGGTCCAGACCACCCAACTCCCTATCCTCCCTATCGTGCGCTATACCAGTATAGCCCACGATAGGGAGGACTGGAAGGAATGGAAGGAGGCCTTTGCCCAACAGTGGGACACTAGTCACATTGTTAAATTATTTGAAACTTATACCGTCTAACTGGTTTCGCTTTTAACGCGAACTCAATACAGTTCCTCTGGTTCTTGTCTAGCTCACAATCCTTGAACTCCTGCTCGCCCTCCTTTTGAAACGTCACTATGACGAAACCGACAAATATGTTTACCTGAAAAAGCACAAAAACGCAATGTTTGTCTTAAAAACATTTAAAAGATAAACTAAGCGGTGAGTGACGACCACAAATTTTGTCACATTTTAAATAAAAACAATAATAACAATAAAATGAGGGGTAATGATAATAGGTTATTTACAGTTCATACAAACATACAAATAGACTACGATTCCAGGGTACCAGTTAAGGATATGTTTTCATTATTATGAAAATGAAACGTCTAAGAGCAAACGTGAAATATACACAACGACTTAGATACAACTACGCTACGGGAAGTGTAGAACATATCAGAATTAGATTGCATCTAAAATGGATGCTTTAGAAACTAAATTATTTAATTAATTTAGAAATTAAAATTTGTAGAAAAAAGAATGAAAAGTTTCTCGCCGCTGTAGGAATCGAACCCACGTCTTCGGGATTCGCGCTGATTTGGCACACTGACGACAAATTTAAGTTTAATCTTAAGTGCAGAGATTAGCACTATAAAAACTGAAATTTCTAATTAAGAAATTTGAATAATAATAAATTAATTCTATTTCTGTAATAATTCATTAAATAATTAACAATTAATAATAATTAGACGTTTGCGTGATTAAGAAAACGCAGGTAATCGTTCAACGTACTCAGAATTTGTGTCTGCACAATGCTTCTAAGGCATACCGATGAAGTTATTACCACTTACCATGAAGAAAGCTATAACAATGATGTAGCTGATATAAAAGAAAGCCACCAGTGGTCTTGAATTTTCAATGGGCCCGTGGTCCTCGGCATTTGAATCCATCGATGTAGATAACAATCTGTAAAATTGCGTATTCATTTACCCATTATAAATATCGGTGCATCTACAATGGAATGGAAACATCTGAACGAATATATCTATATACAAGAATATACTAACGACGGTACGTACGGAGTTTCTTTCGCCTGTTTCTTCTCCGTTAGAGAGATTATGAAACGGTGAAAGATTTAAAAAATGACTATCGATAGGTGAAATGTATATTTCTTATTTCGATGACTAAATGTTTTTTTTTTTTAATAGACCACTCTATGATCACAATTAATATGGGTTTTATTAAGAGTAGAACTAAGAAGTAAACAGCGAGTTTTGCGAGGTCAGTCATTTTATCATACAGATGACTGGATGTAATTTTGGTTCTGACCGAAAAACATTCCGTCAGAGAAAAAGTTTAAGATGATGATGATGATGATGATGATATTAACAATGGTAACTCTTATAAAGTAAAAACGACAATTATTCACCAAAACTTTCATCAAAAAGGTTGTATTCGAATGTTATGCACTTAAGGAATTAAATAACGAATCTTCTTCTTCTTCTTTATTTTTATAAAACATTGCCCTCACTTTAGGATAACATTATCCTGTGTTGTCAGGACGTTTTACAAACATAAATTGAACGAGGACAAACACCCAGATGCGAAACAACTATCTGTGGGTCGAACAAATATTTGTCCCGTGTGGGAATCGAACCCGCGACCCCCGACGCCGAAGCCAATACTTTGGCGACTGCGCCACGGAGTCATCAATCTTGTTGTATTCCATCATATACCCTTAGATTATTTAATATTTACTATCGTGAAGAAAAACTAACTTACCCCGGCCACCCTTCAAAAGTGGATACAGTGAAGAGTGTAAGCATGCCGTTAAGCACATCGTCAAAGTTGAATTTATTCTTCTGCCACAATCTGTCTTTGAGTTGCGGCTTTTGGTTGTCATAAACGAGATAAGATCCTCTGAAATTACAAACGAAAAATCGAACGAATATAGGTACGAAGGCAAAAATTCTTTAATTGTCATTTTAAAATTAGCCCTTGGACAGTTTGGATATCGAAACCAGTTTTAGGATCCGATTCATTTTTCTAGCAAAGCTAATAATAACATTGCGAAGAGATAAAACGTTATTAGTGTACTTTATACAGCGTGTCTTTACCATCGCGACAATAAATGAACACACATATAGGGGATAACTTTTTAAAGTTGTATTAAACATTTAAATTCTTTAAACATCAATATTTACAGAGTTATTAAATTTTCCAAAACAAAGAATTTTAGAACACCTTACCTAAAAAAGCGTAATGTAGAGTTCATTTGTAAAGGTCACAAAGCATATGAATGGGTTGAATTAATTTAAAAGAGACAAAACATACTGTTAGAAGGAGAGGCTTGTAATACGACGCTGTGGCGCACGTTGTATAGGATGTTACAACTTTTGTTTCTTTTTATTTAATTAGTTTGTTTGATAAATATTTTTTTAAATTATGGATTTTGTTTAACGTTAATATTTTTATATGATTTGGCAAGTAGCGTTAGACGTGTGTTTATTTATTGTCGCGATGGTAACGACACGCTGTATATTAATTGATAAATTAACGTATCAACTATTTGGTTTCCACAAAAAACGTACTCAAATTATTGCGTTCTTAATATTTTTATCCATTAATACTAGTAGTAATATTCACTTACTGGCACTCCTCTTTGGTGACTTTGGTGATATCGCTGCATTTAAAAAACTTTCCCTGAAATCAAAGGCAGCTTAGAACACGTATTACTACCATGATAGTACATAGAATATGTATTATATGTATATAACAAAATCGTAATTGTCACCTGACCTCGCTTCGTTACCACAATACAAATACAAAGCTAAGCACACTGAGGTGGTACGGACATTGCAGTTGGTACAACATAAAATAAACCACACTACGTTCATAACAAAGCTCAAAATACGGCATACCTTAAACAACTGGGTTCCCAATACAGCAAACATAAATTGCAACATGTGGTTAATAAGGAATATATTGCCAATGGACTTGATAGATGCGAAAACACACTTCACGACATACTATTTGTTAACATATCATAAATACATTCCACGCACAACAGTTACTTTACCGGATCACAAGGTTTTTTTTTCCCACCCGTTTATGCCAATATTGCAGTTGTACAAGTAGATAATACATGTGCAAAATAAAAAAAAAACAACGTTAGAAACTATAAACTCGACAATGAAATCTCACCTAGGGAACATTGCGGCAAAAAGAAACAAATGAAAAACTGCCAGTGTCCTGATCTGACCGTATAAAGGGTACAAAAAAATCAAACCATAAAAGTAAACGAAGTACCTTAGTCCTAGCGACAGAGCGAAAATGTCAAGGTAGGGTGGATTGGATTGTGCAAAAGAAACACACTGAAGCCCTCTCTTTCTCTCTGAGTCCAAAAAATCACAAATATACAAAATAAATTAGGGAACACCACACAACACCTTTGGGCTGTTTAATTCAATTAAAGTTCTTGAAAATAAAGGGAACAAACAAAACAAAAAAATCATGCAAAATCTCCTAATTGGCGATATTTTGGACCCACGGGTGCAAGCGGTAAAACGTGAAACGGTGTTAGTAATACTAATCATCGTAAACCAACCAACGAGTATAAGCCGGCACACACACGAAACGAAATCAGATGAGTTCATGACCAGTGCTCGGGTGATAACTTTATTCTACAGCCATACTTACTTACGGAAGGAATTTAGAAAAAACGAGCAATTGACCCAAAGGTGTCGGTGCCGTAGGATAAACTGAACACAGGGGCGATTCATACCCTCACGTCTCCCTACCTTGAACATTTGCACCCCCATTACAGCGAACATGAATTGCAGAAGATTCGTCACCAACAGAATGTTTCCGATCGTTTTAATAGCGACAATCACGCACTGAACTACGTGCTAGAACATTAACAGAAACATTTCCTTTAACTATTACTCCACCGATTATGTTTAGAAAATTCCATTATTCTGAAGAACTGACCTTCAAGCCTTTGGCTCTGTTGATCGCCCTCAGGGGCCTTAGCACGCGGAAAACCCGCAAGATTTTTATAAAGGACACGTTGCTTGATCTGTAAATATTAAAATCTGTTAAAACACCCTGATTCCACGTTTACGCGTGTTTTCATTCAATAACTTTATAGTTGTGAATTTGCTATATTGTTTATACGTTGTTTTTGTACGGAAAATGCTCACTTTTCATTTTGAAATACTTGCACCATCTTGATGAATTACAATATTAAATAAGCAATTAAATTTCGAAATCGCAAAACAACTCACCCCGTGAGCGAGACAAGGGAGACAATTACGACCAGCAAATCCAAGAGATTAAAAGCGGAACGGCAGAATGCATCTTTGTGCAGGATGAAACCGTATGTGATCAATTTGAGTATCAGCTCAATTGTGAATACGGTGGTGAAGAAATAGTCGATCTTGCGAAGAATCTAGAATTATAACATACATTACGGTAAATAAGAACATTTATCTAGAATACAATACAAATAACAACTTTTATCCATGCATGCATCGTTTAGTAATCATCAATCAGAATCATAAAACTGTGCATGATTATGCATTATTTCAGTAGTCGAGTACTGCTACTGTTTTTAACGATAAGGGCGGCTTGACCAGTAAAGCTAATTTATAAAGATCAAGCAAAGTACCGCGGTTTCACAGAATGCATTCGTAATTTACAGAATATATTTTTTTTTGTTGTTTACCTGATGTTAAATGAAAACCGCCGCCCATGGACATCTGCTGCACCCGAGGGTTGCGGGTGCGTTAACAACCTTTTGAAAATTGGGCACCGGCTACCTCGCTCACCAGAAGAAACGCGAAAGTATTATACTTCCACTTGACCCGTGGTACCCGGACAAGCCTGCCCATTCGTGCAACAACCTAGGCTGTTGCGTGGGCCTACCACCGTAAAATATAGATTTAATGCTTTTGCGTTTCATCAAGAGGATGGGCCTGTTGGCAATGCAAGTGAAAAGTGTACCCATGGGTACTGTAGATATGCATAGAGAGCAATATTCGCTTAAAATCAGAAGAGGCCCTTCCTCCTGTACTAACTTTTGTGATTAAAAAAATATTGATCGCGGTAATGATCAATATAGAAATATCTCAGCTCATGTACTGTAATTTTTTGTAATACCTCATTTGTAATTCCACTAGGCACAGGTTCCTCCATGGCCAAGGTTATAGATGATGCCAAGATACAAATTAGGATCAAATTCTTGAACCACGAATTGTTTTGTACTTTGTAGCATGTCACTCGGAACCTAGCAATAAAAATAATAGTAAGATTGGATACGAAGAAAGTTATCAAATCTCCTTTTTTTGTTATAACGTCGGTTTATGGGGTTCAAATTGTTTAAAATTTAAGAAGTCAATAACGGTGAATTATTAATAATACCCGCATTGACGAGGCAAAAAGATCTATTAATAATCTAATACTTAATTACTACTGAGTACTTGCGGATATGTCTAATTTTACTGGTAACTCTGGCGTGTCATATAACACTTTAAAATAATGTTAAAGTTATGGGCAAAATTTGGCAAATTTTATTCAGGGTTAAAGTGTAACGGCTGGTGTTATTTATTTACAAATGTATTATCCAATATTATAGTAAATTTTATAATTCAAAAATGTTAATTTTAAATTAAATAAAATCCCAATGAATTAATTTAAATTGCCTCGGGAAATAATGTCATTAAATTACTTATAACACTGGTGTGCAACATTTATACAATGTCATTATGAAAAATATTATATTTAGACTTGCCAATTCGTTTTGGAGAATATAAAGAAACTACTGCCTTCCGGTATTGGTTTCTCCTGCGTTTTAATTTCCACTTCAGATAAGCGACGCGGTCTAGCCGATACCGTGGCCTGCCGTTTTATCGGCGGTGGCTCTTCTTTCTTCACGTCTCCTGGAATTTATTCCTCCTCTATCAATAATCCGTTAATGCTTTTGACATTCGGTCTTAACGTGAACTAACAGTGAGAATTCACTAGAGTTTAATCCAGCCTTGCATTTGCTTTGTTTACTTTGATAACCTATAATTTTTTTTTTTTTCAAAAATTAGACTTTTACTAATTAGTTCAGACTAAAATTTTAATTATAAATGTAAAGATGATGTACCATTTTGTTTGGAATCATTGCTGACCAAAACGTCTTTAGCGTTATTTCTCTCTTCTGGCTCCTGCTCGTCGATCTCTTCTTCTGAGCCCGTTTCTTCATACTCTTGTTCTGACCTGAAAATTAAAATAATTATAATAGTTTAAAAGGAATCATAACAACATTATAAGAGTATGCGGGTAGAAACAAAACATTGGGCAGCCGTTAAAGTTTTTAACTATAATAATACATATATACGCTGTATTCCATTACATACAAAGAAACAACTAATTTACGCTATTAATTTTTCATGAACCCTACCTACATTTTAATAAAAACTTCCTGAGATATGCCGTTCAATATCAAACCAAAAGTCGACCTTTAGTTGGATGCCACCATTTACCTAATAATAAATAATAATAATAATAATAAAATATCTTTATTCACATAGACGCTTGCGCGTTCTTATGAAACGTCAAAATTTTACAAGAAATTAACACGTTCGTAAGTTACCACCGGTTCGGAAAGCAGTTTCTGTTGAGAAGAAACCGGCAAGAAACTCAACAGTTGCTCTTTTTTAAAAAAAATCAGTTTACAATATAATAGTACATGTACAATAGTCTTGTTTTAGCCTACGTGAGTATCAACAGTATTAACCCCACACATTGGCGTCGTCAAGATATTCGGCAATAGAATAATAGGCTTTAGCCATAAGTTTTCTTTTAATTTTTCGTTTAAATTCATCAAGTGGCAGACTTAATATCGACTGTGTGATTTTATTATACATGCGCACACTTTGCCCCATGAACGATCTGTTTACTTTTTGTAGGCGAAATAATGGCGTAGTTAGTTTGTCCTTATTTCTAGTATTTAGTTATGTCTGTCACTATTCTTTTGATAATTATTAATATTCTGTTTAACATACAAAATATTACAATAAATATATTAAGACGCAACAGTGAGTATATTAATCTCTTTAAAAAGATCTCTGAGTGTATTCCGGGCTCCGATATTATAAATTGCTCGGACAGCCCTTTTTTGAATAATAAATATTGAATTTATATCAGATGCACTACCCCACAACAAAATGCCGTACGACAAGATGCTGTGAAAATAACTGTAGTAAACAAGTCTGGCAGTGTCGATGTCTGATAGCTGCCTAACCTTCCTAATTGCAAAAACAGCGGAGCTTAACCTATTCGCAAGAGATGATAGATGGGGACTCCATTGGAGCTTTGAATCTACTGTGATTCCCAAGAATACAGCGGACTCAACAGGATTAAGGGTTACGCTATTCAATTTTAAGCTAAAACTTCGCCTTCTTACGTTGGGAAGGGCAAAAAGAAGGCATTTGGTTTTTTTAGCATTTAACACCATATTATTAATGGTAAACCAGTGGAGGATACGCGAAAGTGCACTATTCACGTCGTCATAATTCGATACATTTTGGTCAACCTTAAAAATAAGCGATGTGTCGTCAGCAAACAGTACAATATCACATAACTCACTGGCATAAAAGGGGAGATCATTTATATACACTAAGAATGATAATGGGCCCAAGATTGATCCTTGTGGGACACCCATTTTCATGGGGGATCCTGCGGAATTTACATCATTTATAGATACTTTTTGAATTCTATTACTAAGGTAAGAGGCAATGAGATTGAGGGCGATGTCACGAATGCCATAATAATCAAGCTTTAGAAGGAGGGTTTTGTGAAAGCTTTTGAAAGGTCGTAAAAAACACCTATTGCATCTTGCGACCCTTCCCAGGCGTTATAAATATGTTTGACAAGTGCGATACCCGCATCTGTTGTCGATCTGCCTTTAGTGAATCCATATTGCTCATTGTGAAAAATTTTGTTCATATTAAAATGTACTAAGAGCTGATTTAAAATTAGTTTTTCAAAAATTTTACTCAGAGATGGCAATATGGAGATAGGTCTGTAGTTTCCTGGATCATTTTTATCCCCACTTTTGAAGACGGGGATTATCTTACTAAATTTCATAAGATCTGGAAATATTCCAGAATCTATGCAGTTGTTAAAAATATTAGCTAAATGTGGTGCAATATATGGCATTATTGTGCTCATTAATTTTATGGACATGCCCCATAAATCCCCTGTATTCTTAAGATTAATAGAATTCAAAACTTTTATATATAATATAATTATATCATAAGTATCTACATGATTAAATTTAAATGTGTGTGGACAAAAGGTAACATTATTTCTTAAAACGTTAATTGCATCTATGGGAGATGATTTTAATGTACATGTGACATTAACTGCAATTTCTGAAAAATAGCTTTCAAAACTACTTGCAATTTCATTATCCGTTGTTATGGGAGTATTACCTATAACCAGTTTTATAGGTTCCCTGAATATTTTGGGTCTTCCAGATATACGGGTAATGATGTCCCATGTGGCTTTAATTTTATTGTTTGAATTTGTTATTCTATTTCTTATATGAATAGATTTTACCTGAATACAGACTTTTTTAAATATTTTGGAGAACATTTGTACCCTTTTATGAAAGTTGGGGTCATGATTCCACTGCCTCATATTATATATAATTCATACAGTGAATCCCTACTTTTATATATACCCACTGTTGCCCAGTCACTAAATTTTAATTTTGAATTTTTAACAATTGTGCGCGATTTAAATGTATCATTATAAGAAGATATGAGAAAGTCAACCATTGATTTATAAGAATCATTAGGGTTATTGACTTCTATATCTTTATTTAACATATGATGTGCCACTTTGTCTTTAAAAGAATTTATTCTATTAGTAGTGACTGGTCTACACTTGATCTTATGTTTGCTTGTAATAACTTTTTCATTTATTGAAAATTTTAAACCAAAGTGGTCAGAGCTCAGATAATTTATAACATATTTATCATATACATTATCGTGGCAGAAAACGTTATCTATATATGTGGAGGATGAGTTAGTGACAGGAGTTGGTTCATGAAAAAGATTATTAAGTTTAAATGAACTAAATAAATTTAAAAGTCGTTTACTAAGATGTGTCACTTGTAATAAATCCACATTAAAATCTCCACAAACTAATTAAATATTACCCTAAAATATGATGAAATATTTCTTACCTTGCTACTCTCCTGTATTTTTTATACTTTTGGCTGCATTGGAGTATAAAAAATAAATATGTTACATAAAATTAATCAACTCTTTTCGATAATGCATAAAAAATACACCGATTTACCAATTTGGCATGAAGCTATAAATGTAAATTGTTAACGTCTAGGGGAATATTCCTTCACGATATACACAATTTGTTAATACAAAAAAAAGTGAAATCAAGAATATTGGATTAAAATGTAAAAATATTTTTTGGCAGTTAACGTTTTTTATACAATAGATTAAAATAGTCATAAACATACTTTATCAAATGATGATAAATAATGTTTGTGAAATACTTTTAAAAACATTTTGTAATCGTCGTACTGTAACAACTTACCCCTCACTGGAGTACCCTTCCTCTTCATTACCGTATTCATCATCGGTCTCGGCTTTTTCTTCGTCTAACTGAGGGTTACCAGCCTCAGGATTTTCAGCCTCCTATAAGTAGGTTAACTTTGAACTTAAACGTAGCACTAAAATTTTTCGTTTTTGATATCTTTTATATTTAAAGCACCTCCAAACATACAGAAAACAGATATTGTTTCCTACATCATTCACACATCTAACCATACCTCCTTCTGGGCTTTGCCATTCAAGGAACTTACGTCTTTCTCTTTCTGTATTTCTTCCATTTCTTCCGCATCTCCCAAATTGTCGACAGCAATGGCCAAGAACACGTTTAATAAAATATCTAAATTACACTGTTAAGGAATATTTACGATTGTAGAGAAAAAGATCCCTATATAAAATAGTCATATTAGCAAATTAGTTATATTGAAACGTTTCAAACACATGTGTTTGATAGCGATATTGGAAAGGATACAATTACCGCAGATGAAAATCACGATAAAGTAAATAGAAGCAAGCATGCCGGGCGTTCCAAAACCACCGTAAGCATTGATCCCGTGATACATAACAGCGTTCCAATCCTCGCCTGTCAAAATCTGAAAACAATCGAAATACGATTCAGTGGTTATTGAATTTTATTATTACCAAAGGCAGCCTAATGAACAAAACTTTTATAACACTACGAGAACCATCTATATACCATTTACCATAACAGAAATTAAATCACGTTTTATTGGAATTAAGCGTGTTGAAAATAATGAACATTTTAACGAAGTAAAAAGATACTAATCGACCCATTTAGGCTGAAGGCTCTTCTAGGGCTTGGGTTAGCCTAACTGGCATAACCAGAGTTTTAATTCTGAACTTTTTGCCCTTGAAGTAATACAAGGTACCGATTAATATGATAAGATGCGAAGAAAATTACTTACTTGAAACATAGTTAATACAGCTTGCCAGAACGAATCGAAATTGTGTCTCTCCTTCTCTTGAACGGGGTCGTAGTCGAATCTTCCTCCAAAAACTTGCATTCCCAGGAGCGCAAAGATCATAATGAACAGGAACAGTAACAATAGAAGGGAGAAGATGGACTGAATTGAGTTGAGAAGTGAAGCCACAAGGTTAGATAGGGACCGCCAGTACCTGTAAAATAAAAAATACAGTATTTACTAATCAAAATGCACCTTGCGATCTTAAGTATGTAATGAATCTAATATTGGGTAACACCTACTGTTTAAATTGCCAGGAGTTTTGAAAACCCTATATTTCGAATGTGAAATCGAACTAATGATCCATTTGCCAAATATATTATTATTACAGTCAAAAAATACATACTTGGTAACTTTGAACACTCTGAGGAGACGAACACAACGCAACACGGATATGCCCAGCTGTGGGATTGTTCCAGTGAATGTGAGCGCCAATTCGACGATCGAACACACCATAACGAAGCAGTCAAAGCGATTGAACAACGACACGAAATAACCCTGCAATCATAAAGGTTTATAATTAGGTGACCTTAAAAAAGTTTGTCCTCTTAGGAGGTGCAAAGGGAATGTAATCACTACGTTTAAGAGACGGGACTTCCATACTAGCCAATAATTTTTATCGAAAAAAAATCGACTTAAATCAGAAAATAATTAAAAACTTAGTTAAAGCCTATAACACTCAATGATGGCCCTCGATTTCTCTGGGATGCCATCATCAGATCCGGGTTTCCTTACCATGGTACCACCCTTGGGATATTTCCTTTCCGACAAAAAAAGAATCATCAAAATCGGTTCATAAAGGACTTAGTTATCCGCGAACACACATAAAAAAAAAAAAAATATAATATACGGTTGAATTGAGAAACCTCCTCCGTTTTTGAAGTCGGTTAATAAGAAACAACTCGCAAGTGATTATTAGTATTTTTAAATATATTTACAAAAGGGAAAGAATAAATAAATAAATAAATAAATATTTAGGACACATTTTTACACAACATTCTCTAGTCCCAAACAAAGCAAAGCTTGTACTATGGGTACTAGAAAACTGATAAAGATACTTAAACATACTTTCCTTTTGTAAATGAATACATATTATACATATATAAACACCCAGACACTAGAAAAATACTGTGTTTATGACAAAATATTTCCAGTTCCAGTAGTGGGGATCGAACCCACACCCTCTGGCGCAGTAGGCAGGTACACTACCCACAACGCCATTCGGGTCGTCAAATATGATGACGACAATTAATATGAATGCAACCATCAAGACATCGGTGATAACTTGTATTGATTTATTCTTGGAAAATACGGATAAGTAAACCACTTCAGGATCATTCCTAAGGGTCAGTCATGCATTAAAATAGCGAGCCAAGATGAAAGGTTCGCTATATCCAGAACCCAATTCATACCCACTGGTGTACCTACGTTGTTCGACCAAAAATCAGCTCAATTATTTAAGATGATTTATTGTATATTATGATAGTACAAGTATGCTTACCTGAAAACCCAACGCGTACATTTTGACGAGCATTTCCATCGTGAATAGAACCACGAACAGATAGTTCGCGTAGTTCTGGAAATAGTCTAGCCATGGCGGTTGGCTGGAAACGAGTAGAACATATTAATTTACACATATACAATTCATTTAATCAGTATGTGTTAATGTCCTAGGCTTAACGCGGCGGCTGGTGACAAGAGAGCTGGTTCTTTTCTCGCTCAAAGGTTAAGCATAACTATTCGCGAGTACTATAAGCAAGGAAATGCACCTAGCGCTCTTGGCACCATGCTGCGTAAATTTATCAGATAGGTTTATTAGATAATATGTAATTTTAGATAGATATAATCTTGTAAATATTAGATCAATAAAAAGTAATAAATTAAAAAAAAATACAAGGATAGTTAAAAGAAAGACCGCAGAGCAGCTTATTCGAAAAAAAAATTAATTTAATAAAATGCAGTAATGATATAAATGACAACAATGATGTATACGGTATACCTATGAAATAATGCATGATTTTGTTCCGATTCTGGCACAAAACTTGCGAATGGTTGAACATATTGTATACTTCTACATACATGACAGAGATAGGCATTGTAAACGAGAGACGATGATAAGGTAAACAAAAATAATCTTTATGTTCTATGATTGGTAATCTTTCCTAGTATTATAAATGCGAAAGTTTGTATGTATGGATGGATGTTTGTTACTCTTTCGCGCAAATACTACTGAATGGATTTTAATGAAACTTTTCAATAATATAGTCTATACATCAGAATAAGACATAGGCTATAATTTATATACATATTGTATGTATATCTGTCTTTCTGTCTGAATGTTACGTCTTCAGCCTATTCTACGCAGACGTAGTCTCGGGCAGCAGCTAGTTTAATATAAATTGAATGAACAAAAATGCACAGCTTTAAAAAAAAGGCCTTAACACTCTAGTTTTATTTATTAGGACTTAAATATGCTTATTTGCCTTAAACCTGTTTCGCATAAAACTAATAGTCAATACTTACTGGTAGTGTTCAGATGCCAGCACCAAAGTGTTGAGGAAGACCAATACAATGATCGCCCAGTAAAAGGCCTGTGACTTCACAGCCTTTCTGCATGCCCTCCGCATGCGTCGATTGATCTGAGAAATCGAATATTCAGCCACATAAATATAATCAAATTATATATCCTTTAAATATTTATCGTACTTATGTCTGCACTTCAGACGAAACATTAAAATTTAAAGAAGTTAAAATGGACGAATAGATTTTCACCGCTGCGGGAACCGAACCCACGTCATTCACAGTTGCGCCCAAATACTTTAACCACTAACGGCAGATTGCCACCCCGAAAACAATCGCAACCTACTTGATCTACATTATTTTTGCGCATTTTAAGGAATGATCGTCGCATCTTTTTTTTTTAGTGAAAAGTTGCCTAGCGAGCAGACGGTTCACCTGATATTAAATGAATACCGCCGCCCATGGACATCTACTCACCAGAGGGTTCCAGATGCGTTGACAATCTTTTGAAAATTGGGCATCTATAGTTATGTTCTTTGCAGCACACAAACAATTTCAAATATCGTTTTACAACAATTCGAACCAGAGATGTCGCCTTTGCTATTTCAAATTAAAATTTTCATAATATCCAAATATAGTAAAAAGTAACATTAAAGAATATGCAGTAACATTAAAGAGTACTTAAGCAGTCCACGCATTGACAAAAACTCGTATTTTAACTCATTTGTTTTGCATAGATTAAGCAATCACCTTATCGAATCGCCTGCAGTAAATCTTACACGTTGATGTCTGGGTCTGCTCGCCATTCGTGTTGTCGTTCTTTTGTGACCCCTCGTTCTTTCTTTCCTTTTTTCCTGTAAACGTTAAGCAATAATATTTATTTTCGCGAATATATATTTCTCTTTTTCTTTCTCCTGCCCCTATCCCACCTTTGTAAGCTTGTGTTTGTAACATGTGAATAATGTTGTTCATAATGTTAGTTATGTTTTTGTGACTATCCGCCAGCCTGACGTCAACACAGCTTGAAAAAAAACACTCAGATCTGGAACAATTATCTGTGGGCCGCACAAATACTTGTCCCGTGTGGGAGTCTAACTCAAGACCCTGACGCCGAAGCTTCGCCAACAAGTCCTCAAATATATTTCATGTACAACAACGATCATATAATTAAAAAAATCTCTCCTTGTATCTCTCTCTCTCTCTTTCGCTATCGCTCCCTCTCTCCCACACTCTCTATCTCTGATTACCTAGTCAGAGTAAAATACATAAAAGCTTAATGTATAATTATCATCATCATCAGCCGAAAGATGTCCACGGTTGAACAAAGGCCTCCCCTTTAGAACAAAACAACGAATGACTCTTTGTTATTTGCATCCACTGTTTGCCCGCGACTCTTAAGACATCACCTCGTGGTTGGCCCTCCATTTCTATTTTTTTTCGGTTTCTCTCGTTTTCCGGTTCGTGGTCGCCACTCAAGAAATTTTATTCCCCATCGGTCATTATTTCTTCGGAGAGCTGTATCGGTGATTCTGATTGTATAATATTATATAACGTTGATGACTCCGTGGCGCAGTTGCCTAGGTATTGGCTTCGGCGTCGAGGGTCGTGGGTTCGATTCCCACACGGGACAACTATTTGTGTGACCCGCAGATAGTTGTTTCGCATCTGCCCACGTGAAATTTATGTATGTAAATCATCCTTGCAACACAGGATAGTCTTATCCTAAATTAAGGGCAACGTTTTTTTTTTAATAAAAATATGTTAAAAAAAATATGTAACATTTTTAATAAATGTATTTACCAAAAATTTAAATAATCATCTATTTCATTTTATTTCCTCGTACCTGACGAATCCCTGTCTTCATCTTTCTGCCCTTGATCGTTCTCCAGATCCAACTCCTCGGCGACAGTTATCCAGTTGAGATAGCCTTTAAGGTCCTCTTCGAACTGTTGCCTCTCCCTGGACTTCTGGAAGTCGCCGCGGCTCTTCGCCTTTTCCCTCTCCTTTGAAAACTCTCTGGAATAAGAACAGAGTTTTCTGAACAATAGTAACACCAAAACTGGAGGCAATGAATAAAACAATAGTTTGTAATTTCTAGTATACAGCGTGTCGTTACCATCGCGACAATAAATGAACACACATATAGGGTATAACTTTTCAAAGTTGTATTAAACATTTAAATTCTTTAAACATAATATTTACAGAGTTATTAAATTTTCCAAAATAAAGAATTTTAGAACACCCTTACCTATAAAAGCGTAACGTAAAGTTCATTTGTAAAGGTCACAAAGCATATGAATGGGTTGAATGAGCTTAAAAGAGACAAAACATACTGTTAGAAGGAGAGGTTTGTAATGCGACGCTGAGGCGCGAGCTGTATAGGATGTTACAAATTTTGTTTCTTTTTTACTTAATTAGTTTGTTTGAAAAATATTTTTTTTTTAATTATGGATTATGTTTAACGTTAATATTTTTTTATGATTATTGGCAAGTAGCGTTAGCCGTGTGTTCATTTATTGTCGCGATAGTAACGACACGCTGTATAAATAACAAAACTATTCTGTTTTCAATTAAAACAGAATTAGTATTAGCCTTGACTTTTTTTCAACCGACTTCAAAAAAGGAGGAGGCTCTCAATTCTACTGTATTTTTTTTATGTTTGTTACCTCAGAACTTTCGTCTGAGTGAGCCAATACTTGAATGCTAGTGCTTCCCATGTGGTCCTTATTTCATTGGTATTGGATCTTGGGTCCCGGAGGTGCTTAGGGAACTCCTGATAATCAATTAAAAATAACTATGTAATAATAAAATAAAATGAATACAGAGCGAGATATTTCATGTCGTTTTGCTTTTCGTCAATAAGATAACCATTTTTTTACTAACGAAAAACAAAACCGACAGTCTACATAGACACGCTTTTATCACTTTCGTCCAAGTACAACATTTTTCTTTCTCAGACTGACCTAGCTACGAAAAGCCTAATGACCAAAGTGTCCTCGACATTAGCTTAAACCGACTAAAATCTTGTCTTTTACAACAGGTAGCAGCTAACAAGATAGTTGTTTTCCCCTGTAGCGACTCACCCTGATAGTACACCGAGAATGAGATTCATAACGAAGAAGTTTCCAAAAATGACCATGGTCACGAAGTAAATCCACACCCATAAGTTCCCCTTCACATCGGCTATCTGAAATGGAGAAAACATAATCTTAAATTGAAAGGAAACTGGAAAGAATAGGGACAGGGGATACACGTGGATTCTGACGTGTCTTAGCTCAATCTCACTCAAAATCACTCAAGATCAACGAGATGTGTCTGGTCATCAGCAGTGAACTTGCCTCGTAGGCCTAACATTGCGGTCATCTTCTTTACACACGGCTACCCCTCCCTCCGAGCTTTTGTATGTATTTATGAACTCGTTTGGATTTATTTTTAAACACATCTAAATTACGTATTTATGGTAGTCTACCGTGATATCTCAGTGGTGCACGAATAAATAATTGAAATTCTGTTCGGTTCATGAAATTATTAATGAAAATTTTACGCAGTTCTTTTTTTGGCTGGACGAACCACTGTTGGCCTTGAGTGGCCTTTACAGTTGGCTTTGGCCTGGTGCTGAGGGTGCCTAGTCTGAACCTCGGTTACTGGTGACTAAGCTCGAGGGCTCCCGAGGGAGCCTCGGCTCGGGCCGTCACGCTGTTATAGCATGGTTTTGTCACGTACTAGGTGATAAAGTAATCCACGATGAAGCAAGTAGTAGGCACGTACTTGCCTACTTAACAAAGACATGTGCATAATATACTGTACTTAAGTGTAGGTAGTATCAAATGATGAATTAAATGTCTATTATACCAACGACGAAATTGATGAATTATACTAAAGAAGTAAAATTTACTCACAGCATACATGATATCAGTCCATCCTTCAAGGGTGATACACTGGAAAACGGTGAGCATGGAATAGCCGATGTTATCAAAATTTGTGATGCCATAGTTTGGCCCCTGCCAGTAGTCCGTGCAGATCTGGCCCTCCTCACATTGAAAGCCCACGTCAGGGTCCCTGCTACAGGCCGACGGGTCTTCCACCATTTCCTCTGAAAAAAGAAATTAAAGCATAATCACTTAATTGCGCGTGAAGCTGGCAAGATTACATGTTTAAATTACAGCTGTGAAAAAATCAAAGAATAATGTAATTCTTTGATTTAATTTTTGCCACACCGACAAAAATCTCAACGTATTTATCCACTTTTTTTTTCACATTTTAAACAATTCATGGCACTTATGTCCTTTACAGCGACTATAATTTGAACGACATATGTCGCCATTTCTATTTCAAATATGATTTTTTATAATGCACTTGAGATGAATCATTCAATTCTAGAAAAAAATAACGATAAGTTTTTCACCGCTGCGGGAATAGAACCCACGTCTTCCGGATTCGCGCCAAAACTTATTCCTTTTGTGCTATTGACACTTAACATCATTCAAACATCTTAAAAATAAACTTAACATGGTGACAAGCCGATTAAACAAGTCCGCAGTCTGTTAGCATACCGTAAATCGCCACAACTATTATATTAGGTTTGACAGGCCACAGATCCTTGCCATAGAATACCAAATTCTCCCATAGACTAGAACTTGAAAAGGGTAACAAAACTTTATTTTCATATTGTAATGATTTACTTTTTATTTAGAAAAACTAATAAAACGACACGACGTAAGTAACATCAGTTTGAAGACCAAGGTAATTGAATAGTTCGAAACTGGAACTTAGATAAGTTTAATGATAACTAGAGAGGCAAACGTAATGACACCGGGAGGCGATTGGAAAGAATTAATTGCGGTGACAAGAGAGCTGGTTCTTTTCTCGCTCAAAGGTTAAGCATAACTATTCACCGAGGAAATGCAGCTAGCGTTCTTGGCACAATGTCGCGTGGATTAGGTTTATTACATAATACGTAATTTTAGATAGATTTACGCCCGGTTTCTGAAACACTAATCATCGTAGATGTCTAATCTATAAACTAATCAGCCGTCAAAAGGCTTTTCAAATTTCATTTTAGTCGCCAAAAGGACGGTTAAACTCTCTGAATTGACCAGAATGATCTTCTAATGATCAGAACGATCAATCCAAAAAGTCTAACCATCCTTTTGGCAACTAAAATGGAATTTGAAAACCATTTGACAGCTGATTAGTTGACATCTACGATGATCATCATTTGGTGATTCCGTGGCGCAGTCGTCAAAGTATTGGCTTCGGCGTCGTCGTGGGTTCGATTTCCACACGGGACAACTATTTGTGTGACTCACAGATAGTCGTTTCGCATCTGGGTGTTTGTCCACGTGAAATTTATGTATGTAAAACGTCCTTGCAACACACGATAATATTATCCTAAAGTGAGGGCAATGTAAAAAAAACTCACTCGTGTCATTATAGAAGCAGGTGTCGTGAAGTACTCCAGCGAATAGCTCTAAGCCGATGATTGCGTAGATGATTATCACGAAGAGCACTAAGAAGGCAATGTGGAACAATGGAATCATTGCTTTTAGGATGGAATTCAAAACTATCTGGAGACCTGAAAAAGTTGATGAACATATATCAATATATATGATGATGAACATATATCAACATATATCAATATATAATATAGATAGGACCATATCAAACATTTAAAAAGATGACGATAGCTTCAGTTTACTTCGTTATTTAGTTTTCGACGTCAAACACGACAAGACGTAAAACAAATAGTATGTCCCGTGAACAGTGATTACTGTTAAGTGCTCGAAACATCTAAAAATTTAACGCGATAACATCCGTGAAATAGTTTCATTTATAATTTGTAGTGTTGGAGTATGTCCAAGATCATAAAAGTTATGTAATGAGGATATTCGTTACTTTTTTCTCGTTACTCTTCTATAACATAGAATAGAATAAAAAACCGGCCAAGGGCGAGTCGGACTCACGCACGAAGTCTTCCGTACCATTATCTATAAGAAACGGCATAAAAATCATGTTATGTTGAATTCCATTAAATAGTTTTTTAGTATTTGTTGTTAGCGGTGACAGAAGTACATCATCTGTCTAACTATCACGGTTCATGAGATACAGACTGGTGACGGATGGACAGACAGACCGACAGCGAAGTCTTAGTAATAGGGTCCCGTTTTACCCTTTGGGTACGGAACCTTAAAATAAATGGATGTTTCTTGTATAAATATTTTAATCATGGCATTTTTTAAGATTTCGATTTTCTTTTATACTCATTCATTTTAATAGACAACCCTCCCATTGGAGAATGTTCTTATAATTAGACAGTTATTTCTTTTTCCAATTAATAAACTTCTTAGAAGTCTATTTAGGAAAGTTCAAATTCCGCGATCTACCGTTTGCTGAAATTGGCTTGTTTGAGACAAAATTAGCTTGTCTAGACTCACTTCTCGCAAGAGTTCACTTTGTAGTCAGAAATCGGAAGGTAATTCATACTGAGTGAGGTAAAGTATAAATAAGAATCGTTTTATGTTTCCTAATCCCAGATAGACCGAAATATCAAATAAATTTAGCTGAAAGAACAAACAACCAAACCAAATAAACAACAACACTAGCTAAATTATAAATTTAAAAAATTGTAATGGCTAGGTAGTAAATTAAAGTAAAGTAATATCCTATACATTTCCCACAGCTGGGCAAAGGCCTTCACTATACAGAGGGTATCAGGGCATAGTCCACCACGCGGCCCCACTGAGGATTGGCGGAGGCTAGGTAGCCTACGTAGAAATTAGTATTTTTTCGAATCCAGTGATAGATGTAGTCATGACCTAGTACTGAAAATGCAACATCATCCAACAATATAAATGTTGAGGTTTTTAACTTAGACAGAGATAGAATGCTATACACGTTTCACTTGTTTTTCTGCCTTAACTTGTGATGGGTGAATCAACTTATTGTTGAATTTTTGTGAATTAATATGTTGTAAAAATTATACTCACTTGGAACTCCGGATACCAGCCGGAGTGGACGCAACACCCTAAACGCTCTGAGGGCTTTCACGTCGAACGAGTCCTTAGAAATATACTGCAGTACCATACTCACGATACTGAAACACAGAGACAAAACAGGCGTTTATTTATTGAAATAAATTCACATCAAATCGTCTTTCAGTGTCGCACGAATAGGCAGGCCCGACCAAAGAAGTATTACGACCTCAAAGAAGATCAGTTTGATGTGGAAGTGTTACACTTCTATGTTTCGTCTGGTGTAGTGATGTAGGACAACAACCCAAGTGTTGCAAACGTCCACGGGCGGTGTTTATTATTTAACATCAGGTGAACCACCAGCTCGTTTGCCATATTCTCGTATAAAAAAAAATTAAGTGTGATTTTTGTAAATGATTGTGTAAGTTTAAAATTTGCTACGGGTATCGAAACTGCGTTTTTTGCCAAAAGTCTTTTCTGGTTTTCAAAAAGTTCAACAGAGACTATCACTTGAAATAAAATTAATCATAATAATGTTTAAACGAAATTTAAAAAGAGTAGTCGTAGTTATTTTTGTTATTTGAAATCATTGTCAAAATACGAAGAAGCAATCATTTTAGTAGCATAAAACATCCAGATCTTACGATAATGCCTTCAGTAACTTTTATGCTACTAAAATTTGTCATTCTAATGGAAATAGGAAACAATACACAGAATATACGAGAGATCAGACATCATAGTTTAATATATATATATATAAATAACGATGAAAGTAAAATAGTTTATTTACTCACCCAATTGTAACTATCGTAAAGTCTAGACTGTTCCAAGTGTTCCTTAAGTATGCACCGGGATGGAACAGGAAGCCGTATGCAATTATCTTCATAATACACTCCCCCGTAAATATCACCATAAAAACCCATTCTACTTTTTCCTGAAAACATCGTAAATGGAAATGTTTTGGATGGTCCAAGCTCCTCCGTCTTATTTATTTTAAGTGTTCAGATATTGGTAGATCAACGTTGTTAGGAACATGGAACGTACCATATTAAACATCGGAAATCGGTAAACCGAGCAACACCAAAGGTTGCTTTAAGGTATTCCCCGTAGAGAGTTCTTAAAATTTAATTTAGTGACAATTTTTTTATGTTAAAATAAATTAATGATTAGGTAACGTCCCTTTGATTTGTTTATATTGCACCCCGCTGAAATCGATACATTCAGAATCTTTAATAAAATAAATTTCCTTCTATTATTTCTCAAAATCTTATAGATTGCTTTGTAATTATGATTTATTACAGTAACAAAGGAACTGAAGAGGTACGGTCTACGAATTGTGGGATATTCATTTGTTTTCTCGTCTGGTTGGGATTATAAATAAAAATAAAAATATAGATACATATTGCATATATAAAATAAATATTATGGATAAAAATAAACATATACATGTAAATGTTGTATATAATACATATATATATAGGTCCCAACCAGACGGAAGCCCTCGGCAGGGGAGACCAAACGGCCGAGGGTTAGGGCGATAGGGAGAGAAACCGGCGGATGATGCGGGCGGTATCGAGGAGCACCGAATTGTTATTGTTTATATTATAATAATCGGTGGTAATTGTTCTAGTTACCGGGCCATAATACGAATGAGTTCTTCGAGCGTTCGTCCTGGAAGTAACTTTTAGTGATATAATTCAAATGGGTGATATTTTCTTCTGTGGTGAGCCACACAACGGTCTGCGTTGTTGCACAAATGGGCAGGTCCATCCGGATAAGTACCATGAACTCACAGAAGACCGGCGTGAATGGGAAGTGCTATACTTCTGCATTTCGGCTGGTGAGCGAGGTAGGCGGGCCCACTTAATTAAAGGGTGGCAATAAACCTGCAGCCCTAAGAGTTTGCAAATGTCAATGGGGAACGATTATCACTTAACGTCATTTGAACTGCCTGCTCTCTTGCCACCATCTCAAAATAAAATAAAGTTACTGCTTCAATTGAATTCAGTCCCTCTTCATCTGCTTTAAAATAGAAATCAGTCTCGGAACATTCTTTTGCTTAGCAGTCGAGAGGAAAATTTTGGGTAGTCTTTAAATGTTATATCAAAATACGTACTCACCAATATTTGATTAGTATTGTTCGTGTCACCGGACGGATAAGGCGTGAAAACAGCAAGGGCTATGCAATTCGCGAAGATCGTCGTCAGTATCATGTACTCGAACGGCCTGATGGGTTCATAAGGAAATCACAGGTGCAAAGTGTACGTAAATCGAGTGAATTTCAACACACAGATTCGCATACAAGCGTTCGACTCATTCATTGACCCACTTTATTATAAGGTGGCAACGCATCTGCAACAGTACGCTTGTTGCAAATGTCCAATTATCACTTAACATCATGTAAACTACCACCTCGCTTGCCGCCATATAAACAAAGATATGAGTCATATAATCTTTCCCCAAAAAAAAAATACTAAAAATGCAACATATGTTGGATAGTTAATTGAATATGTTTCACGTTATCCCTCTGACCACTGATCTAGTAATACTACGAAACCTGTAGTAGTGCTTCTGGTTATTCGCTGTATTAAAATACTACAATCAATTTATCAACGGACTTTAATAACAGGATATTCAAACCAAAACAAAACACAACAAAAACCGTAGGTAATCATTGAAAATCGAACACGATATGAGACCGGAGAATAATGAAATAACATCGTCATCGCGATGGATACTTCCACTCCACTATATCGTAGCACATCTTTTCCTAGCGGGTTCTTAAGGTCTAAGCAGTTAACTGTGGTAAGGCCACGCAGCAGCCTCCGCTGTTGCACGAATGGGCAGTTATGGGCATATAATAGTTTCGCGTTTCGTCTGGTGAGTGAGGAAGCCGGCGCCCAATTTTCAAAAGGTTGTCAACGCATCTGCAACCCTCAGATGTAGCAGATGTCCACGGGCATCAGGTGAACCACCTGCTCGCTTGGCAGTTTTCCGAATAAAAAGCAGAACTGAATATTCAAGCCGAAACAAAATACAACGAACACTATAATGATAGACAATCGAATACGATATGAAACCGGAGAAAATAATAAAACAACATCGTCATCGCAAAGGATACTTCCACTCCACAATATCGTAGCACAGCTTTCTAAGTGGGTTCTTGAGGTCCAAGCAGAACAGGCTGCGTTTCGGCTTCTCGGGCTGCGGTTTGCCCCTCGGCCGCGCTGGTTTCCTGGCGGCCTGCGCCACCAACGCCTGGTTGGGGTCGGGGCCGAGGCTGTCGGCGCCTGGGGTGGTCGCCCCCGTCGCCTGAGCCGCATCCGTGGCCATGGTCACCTGCGAACAGAACCGAGCTGTTTCTACTCCATCAAAGTAAAACTCTTCGGGATTAGAATTCCCGGTTCATAAGTGCATAATTATTGATGAGAAACCAACGAAGTAGTCTGTTGGCACACATTTTTGACAGACATACAAGAAAGCGAGTTAATAAAAACACGACCGTGTTACATCCCCAGTCGCCATCGTGCTGCACCAATCAATTGCGCAGTGACCGGTGCTTCATTCAATAAAATCGACCACCGGCAAAGCGCGGCGCCATTCGTCATCCTAACTTCGGACCGATTGGACACCTCTTGGTGTCTTAAGTAAATAGTATTAAGAACTTTTGTAGAACCTTTATTAAATATTATTTTATATTAAATCCTTTTTTTTAGGATCCTCCGCTGCGCTACCCGTAATTCACGGTAAAATATTTACTCAACTATAACATATACTCCGTACACGTGTACGGACTATGTGCTATAAATTGCTTTAGCTTTCAAAGAAAAACTTACAGCTCCACTAGTAATATTTTAGCTACCATAGGTACTCTACGCGTAATCAAAATGGGTAAAATATCCCGGTGATAAACCGGTCGATTCTAGCCCTCCGCCGTATGTACGGAAATACAAATAAACAAAAACAAACCATAACTACTTTCAATTCATTAAAAGGACAACATAAAAGGAATCGATATAGCAACCGAACTCGAAAAGCTTCCTCACAATGCGTTCCAAGTTTAAATAGCGAACGTAATGCGAAATGAATGAGAAAGAACGAGACCAAGCTGCCGATAAATCCGTGGCATTTGAATGAGGAGCGGACGTTCGCGTCACGATATTATTTATCTGTCGCGGATAGACGGGGGGCGGGGAGTGGAAATGCGCGGGAAAGTCGGTCGTAAACATCGCTCCCGCCGTCGCAGGACTAGGGATGGGCAAGTAAAAAAATACGTCGATATATATCGTATCGTTATTTTAAAAAAGTATCGATAATTATCGAGCGAAAAATATCGATACATCATCATTTTCACATTTTTAAAACATTAAAAATTCGTAAAATAGAATAGACATGAAGAAAATAGTACAAAGGAGTTTAAGTTAGTAAGGTTAAGGATATGCGAGGAGCACTCAAAGAATCTATTATAATTAAACACAAAACCAAAGTTGTGTTAAAAATATATCGAAATTCACGAATTCAATAGACATGGCATGACATCCAAAAAATATTGAATATGGATATATCGCGATAAAAAATATCGACGTTACATATAGTAGGTATATCGATAGGTAGGGAAAATATCGATATTTTCCCTGCCGTGACTACGCAGGGCCGTTATTTGAATGCGTTAACGACGGCGCGTCATAAAGGAAAAGTGACGCGGATAGTACAGCCGTGTAAACTCGATAATATTAGAACGTTACAATGCATAAAGCTGTTAACGTTTTCACACACTCCGACTCTGCTTTTGATCGTTACATTAACTTGATCAAATATTACGAAGTAAATTATATCCACAAAGTCGAGATGGGCTTTTACTATTAAATCATAAATATATTTATTCAAATAGACTCGTCAAATTTTACATTTTTTTATGTTATATAGGTTCGTAAGGTACCATTAAGATATCAAAGTGCCTTTTACTCGCTATTTTATCATTTCATGCAGGTCTATGAATCCGATAATTCAAACGTCAACACTTTGTCATCACTTACATTACTATAATGTTCTGTATCGTCAAAAACAACCAATAATAAAGTCAAGTATAAGAAGTTACTTTTTGTAGAGCAAGAACTGGTGCAGTAATTTCGTCACAAACATGAGCTCGTGGTACTTATCCGGTCGGACTTGCCCATTCGTGCAACAGTCGCTGTTATAGAAGACCGGCGTAAAGAAGTACACTTCTGCAACACTTCTTTACGACGGTGGTCTTCTTGTGAGAGAAGTAGCCGGGGCTTTAATAAGGGGTGGCAACACATCTGCAAACGGGTGTTGCAAGGTGAACCGCCAGCTCGTTTGCCACTTTCTCACATAAAAAAGTCCCCGTACAATTTAATGGGCCACCACGCCCTTACCATACCAACGTGCGCTCCAGATATTACAATGTAACTTTTTATTCGACCTTTTCGGCGAATAGCCGAGGTCGATATAGTCTGCGGTGAGAGATATATCGATATGCCCGTTGTGTATTCATCAGCGTATCGGTGTTTAGATGTGTTATAGTTTTATGTACAGACTAGCTGATACCGCGGCTTCGTCGGAGTTGCTTATTATTTTTGTGCATTTATTTAGACTATGGTGTCTTGTCTACGAAGTGGCAAAAAGGTGTGGCATGCTCATAACTAGCTCTCCTAATGTATTACAACTAAAATGTGAAAAATAATAAAGTGTAATGTGTCAATTAGGAATCATAAAACTAAAGTAAAGTAACAGCCTATACATGTCCCACTGCTGTGCAAAGGCCTCCTCTATACAGAGTGTATCAGGGCATAGTCCACCACTATGGATTGGCAGACTTCACATATCTTCGAAATATATCTTTTTGTTATTTTTTCGAAAAAATGCAGTTTTCCTAACGATATTTCCTTTCACCGTAGATCACATACCCGAGATTGAACTCAGGTTGCTCGAGTACATTGCATTAAAGGCGGCCGGACACCGGACACTGAGCTATACCGGCTTTTTTTTAGAATTAAGAATCATATTGTTTGATTTATAATAAAACAATTATATTAACAGCATGAAAACTCAGTTCATTGAACACGTAGAGCTTTTAAAAATGATTGTAGCTCAAAATTTTAGTAACTCTATATTCATTTATTTATTTATTTATACATTAAAAATTAGGTTATACATTTAAAATGAAAATCCATGAAAATACATTAAAATGAAGTTATCACTTTTTTTACATAATAGCCGAGTGTCCAAGATTAATTACTCGAGATTGATTTGAATAGTCAATCGAAATCTGTAGTGTTCCGCGGAGAGCGCACACCGGCAGACGTCTATCAAAATCTTATTTATATAGATATTTACGTCGACGGGAACAACACACATACTGGTACGTTAAGGCAAGCCCATTTCCGAAAGCCGTAAAGTTTAGTAAGAAAGCAAAGCGCTCCAGATTTTCGTTTTACATTTCTTTATGTGAAACGTAATCAAGCGAGCGGACGGGTCACCTGATGGTAAGTGATTACCGCCGCCCATGGACTTCAAAAATACCTGAAGTTGCAGATGCGTAGACAACCTTTAAAAATGTGGTGCCCTGTTACCTTACTCACAGAAACGCGAAAGCTTAAAACTTCCTCTTCACGCCGTAACCCTGTCCATATGAAAAGGATATGCAATATACAGGATGATTTTTCGACGAAGTACATACTTAGACATAGTTTTAATTAAGCATTCCATTATTCAATAAAAATATTCATATTTTATTTTGACAAGAAATAACCAGAAAGATATCAGTTCAAACATTGTTTGTTTATCCCATTAAGAGTGGTCACCCTATTGATAAGCGGTTTAGTAATTATGCGTTCAGCGAAAAGTTTTAGTGTTCGTCAATAGGTTATTGTATTGGGACGGTAAGGCAGGAATTTCTTAAGGTGTCCATAATTGAAAACCAGATTCAGATTTAGAATCAAATTCTGCACATGCTCTGTTAATATGTCCGTCGTCTATAAAATCACCCTGTATACGCAGCCCTGGACGTATAGACGATCGATGGATCGCTGTGCTGAACTCCCATTGTTCGTCTGTACCTCGCCGCGGGGGCGGAGTGCCCTACTCCATATGCATAGCTTGGCTAACACGATATTTATTCTGACAAAATCTCATTCCACCAACGTATAATGGAGGTATAAAGTATTGTGAAGGTTTTACTTTTATAACAGAGACTACGAGTCCCATTATCCGTTTGCCCGTAATACAACATAAACATACAATTTTTTAAAACAAAACATTTTTACAAATAATCAGAGGAATTTTAAAATTTCTCTAAGTGTAAGCACTTTTCAAAGTCACTGTCAAGGAAAAAATTGGTGTATTTAAGGGCGAATAAAATGTAGAAGGTAAGTTTATAAAACACTTAGGTTTATTTTATTTTATTTGGCCATAGTACCACCATCTATGACCAATAATATAATTTCTTTAGAAGACAACAAAACATAGGACATAACAAAAATATAAATTAAACAATGAACCAACTGCCAAGCGCTAACTGTGGTAGGGCCACGCAGCAACTGCTGTGGCAAGCTTAGCAGGCTTGTTCGGGGATGTGCTACGACCTCAAAGAAGAATGGCGTAAGATGAAAGTTTATACTTTAGCGTTTCGTATGGCAAACTGAGGTGGTGAGAGTTGTACTGAATATTGTATCTTATAACTTATTTGTATAATAATATTGTATATTATATAGGTAGAGTTTTTTGACTATCAATAAGTAAGTGAATGCTTCTATATTGAATAAAGATATTTGACTTTGACTTTGATTTTATTGTATTTCATGTAATATTTTATTAGGCTGCGGTAGGGCCACGCAACAGAGTTCACTGTTGCACGAATGGGTAGGTCCGTCCGGGTAGATACCTCGACTTCTTACTGAAGACCGGCGTAAAGTAGAAGTTTTACACTTCTGCGTTTCGTTTGGTGAGTGAGGTAGCCGGAGACCACTTTTGAGCCAACTCGTCAATTGACTGAAGCATTTGCTTTGTTGCAATGGATTATAACCGACACATGCCTTAAAAAATGTAACAGTTGAAATTGTAACGTACATACATACAAAAAAATCTAAGAATACACTTTATTTATATTGGAGAGGTATTTTACAGTATTTTTTATATAAGAAATGGGTTTAGACTTTCGGTATAAAGATGAGGTAGTTTCTTTTCAAGTTTTTAATTCGTTTGGTAAAAAATTACATTACCAACTTGCAATTAGCAATGATATGTGCATTAGTTGACATAATTTGAAATCGGCGCTTTATTCTTGTTTTGATTCCAATCGCGGCTTACAAAGT